CATCACTGGATGTTGCAGCTATAGTATCACAGAACTGTAGAGCTGGAAAGGGATCCTGAGGGTCACCTGGTCCAATCTAGTGCTAAGAAGAAATCCTGCCCACAGCAGTCCCTGGGAGGGCTCACACCACCAGCCTTCTGGTTAACAGCCAGATACACTGAACCATTGTGCCACTCAAGTGATGAACATGCCTGTATGAATCAACCCTCTTTCTGATGAAGAACTGAAGAATTCTCACAGATTTGTTTTTGAATCCAGCAGCAACAGTACCTGCAGAGTGATTATCTGGAAACTATATCATTTCTGTTTTTAGCAACTTCTGCATAAGATCTAGAATTCATTGAAGTCAACAAGAAGTATTTTTGTTGACTTCGATGCCCACTAGGTCAGTCCCCCAGGAAGCACAAATGAAAAGAAACCTTCTGTTCTCTCCTCTTTGTTTCCCTTAAATTGTTCTGCAACTTTTTGCAGTCAATCAGCCAACCTTTCAGAAATTAGTGTATCTTGGCCACAACTGTAGTGGAGACTGTAACAATGTGTACTCTGAAAACACTGGGCACAATGCTTGAATAATTTGTTGTGTCCGAGTCTTGGCACTCATTATTGGTGTTTAATTGCTCCTGAAGTTTGGATTCAGAATTAATCTTTCCTGCTCTCACTCTCGTTCCTACTCATGCTTCTGCTTGTGATCAAAGAGGCTGGTTACTTTGCGATGAATCTGATTTATGCAACCTTTTGACAAATTACTGTGGCCTCCATCCCGTTTGAAGAACCTTTTGGTAACAGAAGTGGCATATAAAGAGATGGCAACAACAGCAAGTTAGGGTTAGCATTGAGGGGAGCCCCAGAACTTTGACTACTGTGGAAATGGCATTTATTTGCAGAAGTACAATTTCCCCCTAGAGTGGCTGGGGAAACCCTGTCAGACAGGCAGAGTATAAATAAATTATTATTATTATTATTATTATTATTATTATTATTATTATTATTGAAAACATATAACAAATGCACACACTCACCCAGTGAGAACTGAGCATGCTCAGTAGTCATGCAAAGAAGAGTAACCATTGAAAACAAAAAATGAAACACATGGACGAGAAGTCGAATGTCCTGCTTGGAGGGATTGGCTGGCTGGAAGCTTGAACAGGAACATTCATTTTAGGAGGGAGGAGACACTCATTCCCTGATTCTGTTGCAGGTTCTGCTTTATTATCTATCTCCAGTTTGAAGGGTGCTTTCAGATGGGTGTTCATTGCTGCATCAGTGCTCTGCATGCATGCAAGGTTTCTTTTTGTTGTGTCCACACAATGTTCACATAAAAATGTTAGTCCATACGCTCCTATTAGAAATCTGTTGGCTTTTATTTACTTTGCTGTTTTGAGATAATCACCAAATGGGGGCTGTTCTGGCATCAGCGTGAACCATTTTTTTCAGGAAGAGAAGAGAATGGAGCCAGGCACACTGTCCTTATTCCTTCCTGATCTCACTTGAAGACTAGAGCTTGTGCACGTACAACCAATAGGCAGGCAGGGCTTTATCCACATCTGGGAAGCCTGCTCTTTCCACTGTTTTCTGCATACAGTTATCTATGCATGTATTCTGCTGAGCAGAATCTTTTCCAACATACAAATAGCCATGGGGAGGTTTGGAGCAGGGGCAGCAGATGGGATTGGGGACTTTGGATACTGTATACAGTGGTACCTCAGGTTAAGAACTTAATTCGTTCTGGAGGTCCGTTCTTAACCTGAAACTGTTCTTAACCTGAAGCACACTTTAGCTAATAGGGTCTCCCACCGCCGCACGATTTCTGTTCTCATTCTGAAGCAAAGTTATGGGTTAGTGGAGTCTGTAACCTGAAGCATATGTAACCTGAAGCGTCTAACCCGAGGTACCACTGTATTTATAAAAAACACATAGGGTACAGAGGAGTGCATATGGAGAGGGCTGAAACCCAATGGCTCCTACCTTGACAGCCGTGCATTCAAGGGTCCTGCATACAAGCTTCTGTGTGTATGGTCTGGGGCCCTTGAGTATGTACAGTATAAATAGGAACCAAGTAATGTATGTGCATGTAGGCTCCTTGCAGACACGACCTTCTGAGTATGTGGAGATCAAGGCTGCCTGGAAAGGGCTTCTGTGACAGTATTTTTATAGCTGTTTTCATTGTGAGCTGAACACAGCCTTTCTGGAAGAAGTGGCAGGATATAAATTTTAAAAACAAATCATTCTAAGAAAGACTGAGTTTTCCTCTTCCTAGCAGCCTTATGCAAGGCTAGCGTGCCTCTTTGCTGCATCAGGGCAGATAAGCCAATGAAAGCCAGAACCGCTACGGTGACTTTAGAGCTGATTATCCATCAAGGAAGAGGTCAAGAGAGGAGAAGAGATTGTTAAGAATGAAAGGGGGGGCGCCATCCACAGCTTCAGCTCACTTAGCTAGTTCATAAAGATGCCCTTTATCTCATTCAGTCACAAGTTTTATCATACTGGAGAGAGAAAGGAATTCCTATGATTTTGCATGATAGAAACCCACATAAGAATACAAAGGGAGCGCAAGAGCTTATATATATATATATATATATATATATATATATATATATATATGTGTAGATTTTTGTTTGACACACTTGCTGCCAAATGGTTTTCCTACACTGAATGCTCTCCTTGCTAAGATGGGATTTTTGTTCAGCATGAAAAATCCAAATTCTCTCCGCTCTTGAAACTTTCCTGCACATCCATGTGATTAAATTTAGGAATTCATGTAGCAGAGCACAATACTGAGGAGAAACAAATGTAAATATATTGCTGCACGGGGAAGATGCCTGAGAAATGGTTGGCAGGCTGCAGGCGTGATAAATGGATCAATAAATTAATAAATGGGCAACTCATCTAAATTTACAGTTAATTGGCTAGTATTTTATCCTTGCACATTTATTTTGTGTTGAGGCGTATACAGAGGTATTCTCAATATTTCATTTTTATTGGAAGAATGAATAAATACTTCTGGCTGTTCCATCCTTGGCTCACGCTCTCATGTCTTATGGCTTAACCAAGCATGAGGCATCCAATTTCTCCCCCTCACAAATCAATCGCTCTGGGTCCTCACCACTGTTGGTTTATTATGGGGATGACTCTTCCCTCACTCAGATCCTGTCTGTGGAATTGTCAAAGGTGTTTATCATCATAATCATGCTTGCCTGTCAGTGAAATTAATGTGAATTTTACCATAAGCTGCAATATCTGCAGACCTAGGTTAGGTGTTTACTGTAGGATAGCCAGGCTTTGCTCTCTTGAGCTACATGGTGTCGTCATCACCAGATGCTTGTTCTGTGCTTTCCTCAGAGTTCTTCCATCTCTTTGTTCAGATCATGGAAGATCTGAGTGGTGGTGTTTTTTGCCTTGCCTTGTTTTGCTAAGAGCGCAACAGTAGCACCTTCTTCTCGGGTGACAATTGTGTTTCTACTACTCTTAGGACTTGCTTAAAGAGAGATTATTTTAACCTATTTAGTGCAGGGATGGGAAATATGTAGGTCTCCAGATGTTGTGGTACTAGAACTTCTGTCCTCCCCAACCATTGGCCATGATGGGTGATTCTGATGGGAGTTCATAGAATCAAAGAATTGTGGAGTTGGACGGGACAACAAGGGCCATCTGGTCCAACTCCCTGCAGTGCAGGAATATTTTGCCCAACGTAGAGCTCCATAAGCCTGAGATTAAGAGTCTCATGTTCTACCAACTCAGCTATAACAGTGGCGCAGCAGCACCTAGAGCTCTACAGGTTCCCAGTCCCTGATGTGTGTTGAAAGGCTTACTCACAACATCTCGGAGCTTTGGGACACCTTTAGTATGACCTTTTCCAGTGACACCATTTTAGCCACTTATTTTTTTAAATGATTTTTTAATTTGTGTGCCTGTGTTGCCTTTTACAATATTTGTACTTTAGTCCTTAACTAATAACTGAACATTTTTTTGGCCTCTTCATAAGGAAATGATCCATGCATCTGCTTACATCAGGCATTCCTGCCATTGTATTGCAAGTCTCCAATGTGCAAGCAGCTGCCAGTTATAGATTGGGGCTTGGACAGGGGTCACTCCTCATAGGAAGCCATGGATTACTATTAACATCTTGGCATGCCTTTGTAGCAACACCAGTACTCGTGGTGTTATGTTTGCTTTTCTTCCTCTTACATGGAGATTATCTCTGTGTAGGGAATTGTTAATGTGAGTCCATTCACCCTCCTTTGTGGGCAGGTGGCTTTGTGGGTGGGCCCTGGGCCTCCCTGGAAAACTGTCCTATTGCCGGCCAGATCGTATTTTCACCGCAAATCGAGCCAATGGCAGCGGGAGGTAGTAGGTATTCCCCTGGGCCAACCAACCAATTGTGGCCCTTGGTGCCATGCCCAGGATTTCCCCCACTTGGCTAATTGGCACCACCATTTGGGTTCTCGCCTACCTCATAGCAATCATCACAACTTTGTGAGGCAGTTAGGCATTGGGTAAGCCTAGTCTTGTTTGGAGAGGAGATTGTAGCTTCCGCCTGCCCCTCCATGGGTAAGGGTATCCTGTTAAAAGGATCTGGAAGGAGTGGCTCCTGTCCGACACCTAGACAGGGGCTAGGGCCATACCACTCCTCCAAAGGGAACCACTTGGGGGATGCCACGATTTGATGTAGGTCACAGGGAATCCCCCCACCGGCTTCACCCTTAGAAACACTCCCTGTGGATGGGCAGAAGTGATGTGCACTGTTACTCACCACAATGCCTAGGGCCAAACCTCACATCTGTAACCAATAAAGTTGTGGCCTTATTTGATCCCAAACCAATATCCTGTGTGGTGTCTACTTATTTACACTTTAGGCTGCAGGGTGGTCCCGGGGCCTCAAGACACAAGAAGCAGCCCTTAGCCTATAGCTGAGAGTTCAGGAGTTCCATTAGCTGATAAAGTGTAAGAATGTAGAGAATGCATCACCTGGGTTGTTTTGTCTTTGTTGTTGTTTTGTGCAGACCTTTGGATGTTCTGGGAGAGAAACAACAGCAGCTGTGGAGCCAGTAACAAGAAAGCCAACAAGTAGCCTCTTAGTTGTAGAAGTATCCTGGGCCCTGCCTTACACACATGGCAACACATGATGAGTTCACAGCAGGTAAAGATCTTTCTTTCTATCTTTCCGTACTTGAAACGTTCTGCTAGGTTGTCACATATCATGTATCTGGAGAATGCTCTTGCTTAAGATTTGTGTCTGGCTTCATCAGTGTGCCAGAATATACCATGAAAATCTCTCCATAAAATACTTTTACTGGTTACAATACACCAGGAATGGGTAATCTGATGTTGGACTACAATCCCCATCATACCTGACTGAGGCTGATTAGAGTTAAGCAGCATTTACAGGGTGCCACAAATAAGGACATAAGAATGCTGCAGCTTCTGTCCTGACATGCGTTCATTACAATCAGCTCTCTTTCTGTTACACTGTACTTTCCACCAAATATTGTGCTACTGCTGCCAGCTGTTTAAAGTAGGTGATATAGTTTTTGTGTAACTTACTTAGCATGCAATCTTTTCAGTGTAAAGCAAATGCCAAATGTAAAGAAAGTGCCAAAAAAAAAAGAAACATAAAAAACACACCCTGCCACGAGATACACACAATCTCAAAATGATTAGCTTCCATGCAAATTTGGAGGAGCAGAAGGCCACTCACACAATGGGACATTCTCAATTCCTTCCCAGCTCATGTTGACCTAGAGTCTGAGTGTGTGCTGAACCACTCACAAGGATATAAAATATGCAGTTCAAGCAAAACAAAACAAAAAATGTATTTATCCAAAACCCCTGCCCAAATCAGCCATGTGAAACTAACCCTGAGTATGGAATAGCAGTTTCTTTAGCAAACTCTGGGCATATCCAGACTTGCGCTTGTCCCATGTCTAGAAAGCATGAGTTTCAGTGGTTTTTTTGCTTGTCCTGTGCTTTCTAGGCATGGGTCCAAGTGGTTCTGCCCTTGCCATGCTGCTTTCCCTTCAGCGATAAATTGGAGCAAATGTTGATGTTTGCTCTGATTCGGCAGTAAAGATGGGGTTTCCTTGGGTGAAAGTTGTGGGGCAAGGGCAAGAGTGGATGAGCCCTCTTTTGTTTATCTACTCTATACTTGGGTGTATTGTCCAACAAGAACATAAGACAGTAACAGGGGAGGGATCATAGAATCATAGAGTTGGAATAGACCACAAGGGCCATCGAGTCCAACCCCCTGCCAAGCAGGAAACATGAAATTGAATCATAGAGTTGGAATAGACCACAAGGGCCATCGAGTCCAACCCCCTGCCAAGCAGGAAACATGAAATCTACTATGAAATTGATGAAGCTTAAGCTTCAGGGACCCTAATCCTGAAGGGGCCCCAGAAGCGACTTTAGTCTGCATTGCTTAAATTATTTGGGTCTAGTAGACCAAATTTGAGTCACACAACTCAAATTAATTAATTTTTTGTTGTATATATTTCAACAATTCCAAAGTCTGAGAGTCAGTTCAAGCTTCAGGGCCCCATAAACATAGGTCTGCCACTGGACAGAAACATTTGGGGGGGGGGGCACAGTTACAAACATATACATCCACTACTCTTTTGTTGTACACCTTCTTGCAGGGGGAGGATATTGCAAAATGTTGCCATAGTACTGCATGAAGGTGGGACCTTATGGATATATTCTGCTTTTTCAATGGGCTGCAAGTGCTCTATTCCTGCTGGTCATGAGACATTTGTGCTGGCCATTCCTCCTGCTAACACAGTCTTCCACTGTGTCCCCTTCTGTACCTCTGCTGAAACTAGGCTTGAAATAAGCATTCTGTTGCCGTTAACTTAATAGGTTGATGTCTCTGTGTTTGCGTGGTGCCCTGTGCAAACGACAGTTTCTCCATTTTGCAAATGGGCCTTGAGGCCAAAAAGGTTGGTGACCTCTGCACTGCAGTCTGAACTTGAATGAAACACAGTCTTCTTAAAGCAGGAGCACTTCCAAGAGGGAAGAGTGTCTCTGGAAGCAACTTAGGAAACAGCCACGCATTTGCTGCTTCATAGACTTACTAATCCTTTGAATAGGCCTTTAGACATGGAAGATTAACAAGTGATTGCTCTGGCCCTCCTTTTTCATTTCATTCGTGTTGTTCTTGTTTTTAAAGCCAAACACCGAGCTCCTGTTGCGATATATTGCGGGAGCATTCCCAAAGCGAAGCCTGGATGCAGGTCGCTGAGAGGCGGGAGCATCGATTCCAATTTGCAGCTCTGTGGGAACGGATGGATGACGGCAGATGATGGTTAGGATGGGGAAGACTAGGTGGGATTTGTGACCTGGGGGCCATTCCACACATCCTCAACAGTGTGCATTCATGATAGTTTGTGTTCAGGATGGTATTGGGGCAGCTATATGCAACCTTTCTTTCAGTACTGTTTGCCCCTGTAAGAGTTTCAGGGTGGACACACTAATTTCCAATTCGTGCATGTCCCATAATGTCTTGCTAAAATCCCGTAACTTTTGAACCACAAAAGTTTTTTCAGGGTTGTGGGGGTGTTTGTTTTGTTTTGGTTGCAGAAGAGTGCAGTAACTTGGTAGCCTTGGGGGAGCATTGGGGAACAACTAATAAAGCAGAACAATGTATGGACTGTCCTGTCCACTACTGATGCACCATTATTGCATCAGTAGGGTGTTGCAGAATACAAACACAGACCTACACCAGTCTGGATGGGTCCTGTTCCTGTAAAAGTAAAGCCCAGTTTGCAAGTGGGAAAACGAGATGCAGGCTGAAATTGCCTAATATCTAGCCGAGATTTTTATTCATCTTACAAGTGGTATATATAGCTGTTGCGAAATGAACAAATAAAATAAAATAAATATAGGAGTAAGTCCCATAGAGTTCACTGGTTTTTATGCTTGTGTAAGTGTCCAAGGGATAGGCACACTGCCTTTGGTCACTTTAGCAAGAGTGACCAAATTTTTGAGGATCTCCAAGCATGGGGACCGTTTGACTTTTATAGTAAAGGAAGGTTATATTTGGCCAACGTGCTGCAAATGTGGGGAGCGAGACAGGCCTACTCTGCTTCACATTCAAGGTGAAGGATGCATAGTATACAAAAGCCCAGCCATTGGCTGTGGTCCTGTTTAGCCTTCCATTTGGCAACTAACTGGTGAGGGAATTTCTAGCCAAACCAGCTGGCCACTGTGACCTTCTTGTTCTCTGCAGAAATAAGCAGGAGGGCTAAACCTGATTCCCCAATATGAATGCCTCTCATTAAATTCCCCTGCAGCTTCTCTTCATTCAGTTCTAAAGAAGCAGGCATGTTTGTGGGGAGGCAAAGGAGAACCTCTGGATATTAGGAATGGCCTTCTGAAGAAGAATACAGACAGAGCAGCCATGGCTGACCTTTCTAGCACTCTGCCAAGGCAAGATCCCAGTGAACTGGAGGTGAGCAGTGCAGCTGTGGAAACTGCACAAATCAAGGACAAGCTCAAGAAGAGGAGAATGTCTGAGGGGATCCATGCATCAAGCAAAGGTATGATGGATGCTTGCCTACTGATTCCGATAAGAAGCATTGGTTTTATTTGCAGTGATGTATAACAGCTCTTTGTGCGAAGCGTTTCAAGTCCTTACAGCTTTCAGCCTTGCAACAATCCCTTGAGACAGATTTGCCATTGGTCTCATTTTACCGATGGAGAATGGAAACTGAGCCATAGTAAATAGCCCAGTGAGACTTATGGGTTCTGTTCCATTCCTAGTTCTAAAGCTCAACACTCCGTTAAACCACAGTGTTGAAAGCTGAACAAATGAAGGGTGGGCAAAATCTGCCATTCACACACACACACAAAAACTAGGAACCAACCTGGCAACGCATGTCTGCAAAGTGTTAGTGCTGAAAACTGCAGTATGTTTGTTTAAAATAGAATAGTTAAAGTAAAAAAATAAAATAAAACCTGTTCTTAATGAAATTGTTGTGGATAAACTTGGGCTCCTTTGGGAGGAAGGGCAAGATAGAAATTGAATAAGTAACAACTTTTTTATTTATTGATAGACGTATTCATATACTGCCGTTTTATACAATATTACAAGGTGGTACAGTGGTACCTTGGGTTAAGTACTTAATTCGTTCCGGAGGTCTGTTCTTAACCTGAAACTGTTCTTAAGCTGAAGCACCACTTTAGCTAATGGGGCCTCCTGCTGCTGCTGCACCGCCGGAGAACGATTTCTGTTCTCATCCTGAAGCAAAGTTCTTAACCCAAGGTACTGTTTCTGGGTTAGCAGAGTCTGTAACCTGAAGCGTATGTAACCCGAGATACCACTGTATACAGAAAGATGTTCAATAAAATATACAGCATTATAAGAACAATATAGGATGATAATTAAAGTGACTGGCTGATGGGGGGAAAACCCATAAAGAGTTAGAGAAGCCTGAAAATCACAGGGTTGCAGAATGTATTCTGGAAGAGTGTCCCATAGCATGGGGCCAGTGACACTAAATGCCTGACTTCTAGGGAAGGCTAGTTAGGCCTCTGTAACATGGAGGACAACTATTGCCTTTGAGCCATTTCCACTGTTCCACCCAACATCACCCAACAGCAACCATTTCCAAGCCCAACTCTCAGTACTGCTTCTCAGTGATATGACAACAGATTCTTGTTTGCCCCTATTGGTGTCTTTCCTCTCTCTATCCAACAAGAGACAATGCCCACTTGGCACATATTCCAGAGAGTGAATATACTTGAGCCATGAATCTGCTTCCAGCAGCCTACAATCACAGCAGCATTTGACCTGGTATCTTGTCCAACTGCATAGTTGCTGGACATCATTGCAGGGTGAGAATGTGGTGATATACAATTTTCTAGAGATGGAAACGGTACCTGGCTTTTCTAATGATATTTTCAAGTTTTTCAGGCTGTTCCCAACAACACCAAGCTGCTGTACAAGTAGCTCATTGTCCTTTGTGTGATGTACTCAGTGTATGCACATATGTTCAGGGGGGAAATGTCACATCCATTGTGTTTTGCATTTCCAGGCTTATTGAACTCTGTGGGTCCTCAAGGACTTGTCCTGAAACCAACCATTTCCAGATCTGCCTCTCAAAGACTGCTGGTCACTTCCAAGCCCATGCCTCCTATTCAGAGCATCCCCACTACCCCAGAGGCTGACGGAGCTCATGAAAGACAGCAGAAAGTGTTGGGAAACTGCCTGGAAGTTAGAGCGGACAACCAGAAGTCAATTGCAGACACTCAAGAGGTACAGTCAAATGAAGATGCTGAAATGCGGTGGTGTTTGTGCCTGAGAAGATTTATGCTTCTAGAAGTATTTGGGTTTGCTTTATTGTTTCTGTTATTAAAAACTGAGGAGCTAATGTTTGCTGGCACGGCGAGGTTATGATGTTGGGTCAATTGCACCAAATCACATTTGATTTAGTTTGCAGCTGAATTGCAGAGTCTGTTGCACAAGCATAATCAAATTGGTATGAATGCGCTGCCTGTTGTTCAAATTGTATTGCTTTGAAGAGGGGCAGAAAATTACATGCAAAGGGATAAAATGTGTACTAGGAAAGAAATTGAACCTATGAAGCTACCTTATACTGAATCAAGTCAGTGATCCTGTCTACTCAGCTGGGCAAAGGAATCAAGAGGCCTATCTGTTGTCAGTCGAGGCCAACAAGCCCTCACTAGTTCCACAGTGACATTAGGGAAACATCAGTTCAGTGAGGTACCTGGCATTAGAAATCTCTTCCTGATATGGGAAGATCCTCTGTGTTATACTGCACAGTCTGTGAGATATGAAGCGCCTCTGGAGTTAATAACTTGCAGTTAGATATGACAAATTGTTAAGTGGCATTTGCAGAGGACCAAGGATCCGGTGATCACACCTTATCATCCAGGAGCTGAGAAGCTGATGAGGGCCGGCAGGAGGAGCACTAATGTAAAAAATTAATAGACTTCTGAGAAGCAGATTTTGATGGAAGGTCGAAGGAGTTGCAAAATTGGCCGGAGCTCAAGGCTGTCTGGCAGGAATAATAGATACATCCTGGAGAGTGTGATCGAAATTTATTCCAGTAAAATTATAAGAACAGAAAAGGAAAAGGGAATAGAGTGTTGAAATTCTCCTGCCAAAGACAGGAGGAGGACAAGCAGAGGGCGCTATCACACTGCAGGTGACGCAGAGAGCACCGAGATGTTGGAAAATGTGGTCGCTTCAGCTGAAATAGTCTATCTTTCATGCCACACAGAACTTCCCACATTTTTGCCCCTTGAAAAGTTCTGTGCAGCTCAAGTGCTTATTTTTCTGCATCAGTAGAATTTGGTTTAGAGAGTCTTCTTTTTAAAAAAAGGGCTGATCTGTCCCTCTCTTATTCTTAGGGATTGATGCAGCAACTGTTGTTTATAAAAATATGTGAAGGAAAATGAGGTTAGTCTCAGGGCTTATCCACACTTCCACTGCTTACCCCCGGGGAAAACTACTCTTTAGTGCTCAGTCGGAGCAAATGGCAATTTGGATTTTCTCCAGATTTAGAGCTAAAGAGTGGGTTTTCCCTGGGAAAGGAGTGGGGCAAGTGGAAAGCCTCTCAGGCAAGTGCTTTCTAAGCAAGGGACCAGCCAAAGTGTTGATGAGCCCTTAGTTTCCCCTGTGTCACCTTGTCTCCACTGTGCCACATTATTCTTTACCACTTTCCAGGACTAATCCTAGTCCCACTTTATTTTTTGCTTAGAGGACTTCAGGTTTCCAAGGGCATGGAGGCTTTTTGTTGAACAGCAGAATTCACCTAGAAGTGCTACTGCCTCACGTGTTGTTGTTGTTTTCTGATTGTTTTGACCAACCCTTAGTGAAGTGACTTTCCATGTCGCATCTTAGTTCATGCATTAAAGGCAGTAACAGCCATGTCTGAGGACACATTGCTACCAGCAGGTCAAACTAGATTACTTGGAAGTCCTGCTCAGGAGGTAGGAGCAAATTTTAAGTGATTTTATATATATATAAAGGGGTCAAACCAGTTGCTGACTCTTGCACTCCATGAGCCTCAACACAGAGGTGTCTTTTGGCTACCTGCAAATACTGAGTGATAATGTCCATGTCCCGTGTCTTTTAAACCATGCTTTCCTGCAGATCTTACATAGCCATGGTGAGAATCTGAGGAGGTCTTTAGGTACAGCTTTGATCCCACCTATCCCCAAATCAGCAAAGGCACATGAAGAAGAAAATTCTCAGAATTTTCAAGAACTTCTTCCAGGCTCATCACAGTTCCTGCTGGAATCTGCTCCTCTTGTTACAGAAGATTCCTCTGAAACAAGGTAGACGGCTCCTGCTTTCATTTCCTTTGTTTATCAGACCTCTTGCACTGCCTTTGTTTCCTCTCTCTTTCAAAGCCTCGCCTGCAGTATCCTGCTTCCCTGAAGCTCAGAGGATACAACTTTCCCTTTTTATGTGAGCTCCAGCTCTCCATTGCATGACTGTGGCTTTCTGAGGCAGCTCTGAACATAAAAAGACCCCTGCTGGGTCAGATCACTGGTACATCTTTCCCAGCATCCTGTTTCCCATAATGGCCAATCAGGTGTGTCTGGGAAGCCCCATAGCAGACTGAAGGCAATAGCCACCCCTTGCTCTAGCTCTCAGCAGCTACTCAAAGCCATAGTTCCTCTGGTGTAGCATAGTGGCTGAGCTACGCGTTAGGGAGTACCTGGTTCAAACCTCAACTCTGCCCTGGATTTGTTAGGTAGTCTTAAGCACGTCACTGGCCTCATTTACACAGAATGCTGGCCACAAGCCATAGCTACAGTAGTGAAATTAGCCTGTGCATGAGCTTTGTGCTGGTGCATACAGCTTGTGCGCTTCCCACTTTGCTCCTTCCTTCCTAAATCGGGGAAATGAGCCATGGACCATCTGGCATAGCATTAGGCGTGAGCCTCCATTCCAAACAAACAGAGAGTGGAAGCCAAGGTTTCTTCTTGACTATGCTTGCTATGCTTGGTTTGGGGGAAAGAACTAGGAGTCCTGGCTTGCGGAGTCATGTTAAAAAGGGGAGAGACAAAGCAGGAGAGTGCCTGAGATCCATGCAGCTTTGTGCACGGGGCCAAGCTGACTAAGCATGGTTTGTGGTCAATTTTACATATGAGCATGGCCACTGTCTTCAAGCTTCCCTCCTCCCCATTAATTTCTAATATGGGGGTATACTGATCTACTTTTTCAGATTGTTGAAGGTAGTGTGTTTGTATGCATGTTGAATAATCTAAAGCACCATATAAGTGCTGTAATATTATCTCACTGGCAGAAACCTGGGTTCCCTCCTCCCACTTTGTTATTTTCATATTTTCCTTTTTCTCCCAATTGTTTTAAGGTCAGGGACAGGACCTTTCAATGCCGAGGACAGCACCCTCAACACTCTGGGTAGGTACAGGTCACATATATGTTCTATCAGAAAATGTGGATGTGACTTTTGGGAGACATTAATGCTGAAAGCATCTTCCTAAAAACAACAACAATCCACTAGGTGGTGGTGTTAGAGATGCTCACGATGCTACTTTTGTTAGAGAAAGGTTTGTGCATCCATGTTTCAAGATGCATACAAGAAGGCTTGCAAATGCCTGTGCTTCCCAGCACAAAGCTGCAAACCAGTCTGGAGAGCACACATCTTGGCAGAGAAGCAGACGGGGTCCTCTTACCCTCTCAATGTGACATTTACATACATAGTAGCTTGGAGCAGCCTTTGGACAAGAAGGTGCTCAAGCAAAGCAAATGCATTCAGAAGTCTGAAGGAGCGATGTGGTCTTGCCGCTTGTCAGCAGGTAAGGCATATGAATTCATGTGCCCACAGAGAAAAAATGGGATTGAAAAGTTCATTGACGGGACCTCAGCAGCTCCTCATGATTAAAAAGGATCGCAAGGGCTGGCAGGGACTGTTCATGTTCATCAAACCTGATCTTGCCGTGTTGACACAGGAGTTGCTAGACTTAACCAACCCTGGCAGATGTTTACCCAGTGTAGGAAGAAAGTAATTTCTCTGAGACAGAATTTGGGGGCAGGCCAATGTCGGGGTAGCAAATAAAACCGGATGATCAATCAAGAAGGAAAGCTGCAATGTGGCAGCAGAAGGGAGGGCAGAACCAGGAAGCAAACAGAAGCTTCTAGGCCAGGCTGCGAGTGGAGCAGAGATCTTGAACCAGAGGGGTCAGGATTAGAAAATAGGGAAATAAAGAGTACTTATTAGAATGAAAGCACCGGACAGAGAGTCTTCCTTGCAGATATACTCCAGTCAGAGTCATGGTAAGAAGCAGACAAGAGACATGGGAGGGCATAGGGGGCAGTCACTGTGATGTACATGTCAATGTCACATTCCTATGTCAGCTGCAAAATAAAAAACACTGGAGAAAAGTTTTACTAATGCAACTTCTCCCCACACCCAAAAATTCTCAGTCTGTCTAGCTTTTGGGAGGAAGAGGCAGCCTTGAGAGCATGCATGGTGCAGCTTGCAGTCAAAGTGCAGACTTGGGTTCGAATCTCTGCTCAGATATGACTTGCTCTCCCCCCCCCTCTCTCTGTGCCTAATCTACCTCAAAGGGATTTTGTGAGGCTATAATATAGCCACGTGTGCTGCCTTAAGCTCCTAGGGGGCACGACAGGATGTAAACGTGATAAAAGCATAAAATAAATAATAAAACAGAAAGAACCACTTTCTGTTGCCACCCTGCTGGGCTTTGTGGCGTTGGAGAAAGCAGCCATGTGAAGATGTATTGCTGATCTGCTGAGCAAGGAAGGTGATTGTTTCTGTGTGGCAGCTTTAGTAGTAAAAGCACTCAGTAGGCTGGTAAGAACAGAATAAGAGAAAACGCTATTGATTTTTAAGCAGCATTGTTGTGTAAATTCCGATTAGTTTCTGGAGTGACTTCATTGCTTTTTAAAGCATGGCCTCTCTTAGTTCCCTGTGCCACAAGGAGCTCATCTGGAGAGCAAGTCCTGGGTTGTGTGTTAAGATGGAGGCTTTCATATTCTGCTCTCTGGGGTGATTGCCTAGTCAAAGGTGCTAAAATCAAGGTGGCTGAGCTGCTAGCTTTGGTAATTATCCCACTTCAGGGGATGTGTCAGGAAGGGATTTATTGAGGCAACCGCTTCAAAGAGCTGAATTCTGTTAAAATACCTCTTAATTCCCTATCCAAGAGAAAGGGGCATTTTCCCTGGATCTTCTCACAGCACAAGAGAAAACATCATTTCATGAACAAAATCCTGACGCTCTCCAATGCATATTGTTATGTATGTAATACAAACCTGAAAAAGTAGGAGATGGAATAATATATTAAATAAGGTCGGAAGTGGGATGCTTCAGGCTACAGGGCCCAAAGCAGCCACCCCACTCTCTTTATTTTTCATCTGGTCCTTTGTGTTTTCCTTGTGGTCCTTGTTCATTTTCCCACTTCCACTGACTCCTCCAAATCAGACTTTTTGAATGCACACTCTGCTCAGCAATCTCACACAGCCAGGTGCCCATGGACTTCTATATATGTAAGCAGTGAGATTCCTGTGGCGTGTATCTTCATAAACAGGCAGAGATTCATTTAACACATTAAACCAAAGATGCTCCTGTATAGGAGATTCACTTCCTTTCCCATGGCCTACTCTAATTTGTCCATCCTTGTTCATGTCTATTATGCGGTTGGGTTGGGAGAGAGGTAATATCTTGGCTGGGTTGGAGAAATGGGATCTGGTTTATTAATTATTAAGGTGTGTGTGTGTGTGTGTGCGCGCGCGCGCACACACACACATGCATGTGCCTATCCGTATATATGTGAGAAGTATAAACTACATGGACATACCCTCCAACATTTCTCCAATGAAAAATAGGGATGTCCTAAGGAAAAGTGGGATTAAATCAGAAACTGGGACAGCTTCTGTAAATCCAGGGCACTCCCTGGAAAAGAGACACTTGAAGGGGCTGCATGGATGAGAGAAAAAACACATACATATTTATTTTGGCAGTGTGGCCGTTAGAGCTTTCTCCATCTGACCTAAGCACTGAACATCCATATCAATTGTAAATTGTACACAGCACCTGCCACGGTGTCTATGTTAAATAAAAGGCTAACATGACCACCTTGCTGAACAGGGCCAACCCACCCATGAGTCAAGATGGGGCAACCGCCTCAAATGGCAGTGTCTACAGGGCCTTCTTGGGAGTAGGGCAATGACAGGCCTAGACAGCATCTTGAGAAGTAGAGATGTCACCTTGCCAACAAAGGTCCGTATAGTTAAAGCCATGGTCTTCCCAGTAGTGATGTATGGAAGTGAGAGCTGGACCATAAAGAAGGCTGATCGCCGAAGAATTGATGCTTTTGAATTATGGTGCTGGAGGAGACTCTTGAGAGTCCCATGGACGGCAAGAAGATCAAATGCATCCATTCTTAAGGAAATCAGACCTGAGTGCTCACTGGAAGGACAGATCGTGAAGCTGAGGCTCCAGTACTTTGGCCACCTCATGAGAAGAGAAGACTCCCTGGAGAAGACACTGATGCTGGGAAAGATGGAGGGCACAAGGAGAAGGGGGCGACAGAGGACGAGATGGTTGGATAGTGTTTTCGAGGTTACTAGCATGGGTTTGACCAAGCTGCGGGAGGTAGTGGAGGACAGGGGTGCCTGGCGTGCTCTGGTCCATGGGGTCACGAAGAGTCGGGCACGACTAAAGGACTATACTAAACAACAACAACAGGGGCAGCAGATCCAACCTCCAAGAAATGCATCACCTGCTGTTCCCTGGTAGCAGTGACAGCTATGGCATACTCCCTGGAGGCTAGATCTTCTGTCTCCTCAGCAGCCCCCTGCCCACTGCCTCTAAAGGTGCAATGGTCTCCTCCCTCTTTGTTCCTGATGTAGATCTTTACCCCCCTCCCTTGTTCTTGATGTAGACCTTCAATCATCCCTTCTTGCCTGGTTGAGGGGACACCATTTTGTGGTTTGCCTCAGGTGTCAAAATGCCTTGGGGCAGCCCTGCCTCTGAAAATAGTTTAAGTGAATATGGAGTCATAGGGAAGTTAAGGAAGACTACACGTATTAATACAAGACATATTATGGGCAATCACCATAACTCAATATAGCTGGCCCAAGCAAGGACTAGCCTGGTATCAAAGTTTGACAGCTTTTGCCCTCCAGATGTTTTGGACTACAGCACCCATCAGCTGCAGCCAGCACTGGCTGAGGCTGATTGGACTTGTAATCCAAAATATCTAGAGGGCACCAGGTTGGTGAAGGCTTCTGTATACAATACAATTGAAGTGTTCTTGACAGGACAAAGGAAGAGGCTACTTGCAGTAGTTAGTCTGTGGAGATGGGCATCAAGAAAGAGCAAATACTTGAGGAAATGTAAGTAGGAGTATGACTGATATCTTCAAGGTACTGTCTCCTCAAAGGGATTATCTCAGGAGAGAGAGAGAGATAGTGAAAGAAATAATTATCCCCAGGAACAAACAGCTGAAAGGTGTGAGCTTGAGCTCTCTGCCTCAAAAAGGAAAATAACCAATTTACCTAAGCTGATGAGTCACTATTCCTAAATGAAGGCTCATTTTAACTCCAGTTGATGGAATCAGAAGTAGCTCATATGGAACCAAGTTCAATCATAAAATCAGAGAAAGAGTGAAAGAAAAAGCCTGATGGATAAGTTCAAGGGTCCTTCTACCCTGGCATCCTTCTTCTCACAGCAGCCAGCCTCAGGGAGCTCATGATTAATGTGTGAAGTCAACAGCCTGTACCCAGTGTCTGTTGTTCAAAGTAAACAGCTTCTGAACATGGAGTTTACAATAGCCATGGAAAGCCCTGTCCTCAATCACCAGTAGTAGAGATTGATTCACACTACGTATTTAAAGTGCTTTTATGCCATTTTAGCAGCCACGGCTCCTCTGCCCCAAGGATTCCTGGTTTGTTAAGGGTGCTAAAAGGTGTTACAAGACACCTCCCTGAGCTATAATTCCCAGCACCCTTAACAAACCACATTTCCCATGATTACTTGGGGGGGGGGGCGCTGTAAAGTGCTATAAGAGTGCTTGCATGGTGACCTAACATTTATGCTACACGAAGTGCTATCTTTTATACTGACAGTCAGTTTTATTCACTAATGTTATGAGTGAGTGCATACTAGTGAGCGAGTGACAACTGCTCCTCACAACTTGTTGCCCGCTCTCCACACCATTAATAATTTTATAAACCTCTATCATGCGCCCACATCCTTCTCTCCCACACCCTGCAAGGTGACTCACACACTCACAATAACTTTAGTCTTTTCGCGCAGGGAAGCTGCTTCATCCCCTTGTTTGGATTGCCAGATAAACATCATGTCTTTTTTGAGATGGGGTGAGCAGAACTCTTTGCACAACACCATCCCTCTGGTAGCAAACTCACGTGGTGAGTGCTGGTAGAAAGTCAAAATCAGGGCCACTGAGTCAAATCAGGGCCACTGAGAAACAGCAGGTTGCTATTGGCCTGCTTGGGGACTCCTGAGGTTTTATAGTAAGCCCTTGCAAACTAAAGGGGATGGTGCATGCTCAGTGGCCACAGAATGCAGAGGGTTAGTTGGAAAAGAAAACCAGGAAAACCAAGGTAGGGGAAGTGCTGTAGCTCAGTGGTAGAAGGTTCCCAGGTTCAATATCTGACATCTCCAGCAAGAACTAGGAGAGAACCCTGACTGTGAAATCCTGGGGACCTGCTGCCAGTCAGAACAGACAACACTGAGCTCGATAGACGAATGTTCTGACTCAGTATAAAAGCAGCTTCCTATGTTCTCTATGTTCCTAATGGCTTGCTGTAGGAGGGCATGGGTGGTTGATTGGCTGGAGCCCCAAAAAAGGAACAGGCTTTTCCAGGGGTGAGGATACACTGCAACATATTTTGTTACAGGTCCCACTTGACTACTACAATTTATTTACAAAGGTAATACAGTGGTACATCGGGTTACATACGCTTCAGGTTACATACGCTTCAGGTTACAGACTCCGCTAACCCAGAAATAGTACCTCGGGTTAAGAACTTTGCTTCAGGATGAGAACAGAAATTGTGCTCCGGCAGCGCGGCGGCAGCAGGAGGCCCCATTAGCTAAAGTGGTGCTTCAGGTTAAGAGCAGTTTCAGGTTAAGAATGGACCTCCGGAATGAATTAAGTACGTAACCAGAGGTACCACTGTAATAGCATAACCCACAGCTGACAGGAAATGGGAACAAGGAGGACAGCTCTCTCTCTCTCTCTCTCTCTCTCTCTCACACACACACACACACACACACACACACACACCACACACCCCTCTCTGAGTCCATCTACACAGGGAGTGATTCAATCTAGTGGAGTATCTCCTTGGCACAGCCTCTCGATTTATATTAATACATTGTGTAATTTCTTGGCTCACGCTCTCCACAGTAACACTTGTTATTTCATACATGCTCGCTGCCCGTGCTAACGTGTTTCTTATGCTTTATTGGCTCATCAGAAACCAGCGCACCGGAACCCGCTTTCAGAAATGGCCTGTCTGCATCCTTGAAGGTTACTGGGTGTCCACTAGAATCCGTACTGCCATTAACCGCCTCCTCTCCTGGTCTGGCTAAGGAAGGGGGCCAGCTCTCAAGTCCTTACCTTTTGAAAGATGACGAGTGGAAGGAGAGCAATGGAAGGGTATGCGCCTTCTATCCCCTTTCTAGTTCTAATGAGGGCACGTTGGTGCGGTGATGTGTATTTAACTAAGCCAAGGGAAAGGTATGGTAAGTTAGCAAGCAGTAGCGAGGGTGACTGTGAGTGACATTTGATTATTGCTTTTTAAACGATGCCACTGCAGTTAAGCATGCTGGTTTGGAGTCGTAGGGATCAGACCCATCCTTCAATGACTTGAATTGTCAGGTACCTGGGGATGTTTTCCAGTGAGAATCCCTCATCTGTAATCACCTTTAGGGCCGCACAGACTCATGCAACAGAGCTCCGCAAGCCTGATAAATTAAAACTCCTATTGCCAGTGACCCATGTGTGATATCTCCATGACCCATTTGCAATATTAAGCACCTGCCTGGAAGCGCTAAACTCCATCTAAATTATCTCATGGGATTCCTCATAGGATTAAAAGTGAGAACCCTGTGCACATTGCCCTGAGTTCTTTGGAGGAAGGGTGGGAAACAAATGTAGTAAACCAAAAGAATACGCTGAAGGAAGATGTACAAATTGTATGCAGCTAGAAGAAATCAAGTGTGTTTTTATTGCATTAAGCTGATTTTGCAGAAAGAGCTTCAGAAATTTCTTTAATTTCTTGCATGTTTTCCTGCAGTGACAAAATGATACATAAACCTCAGAAGGGGCATTCAAAGTGAAGTTTAGGGATAAAGGAATTCATTAATGATTTCTGAGGATCTGGTCTCAAGTAATGCTGCCCTTCTACATTCCTGCTAATATAAATTGCTTGCCTTTTTTTACATAGCTCAAGCCAGATTCTTTTATCATCTGTTCAGAATAGTGCTTGCTAAAACTTTTCACTTTCTTGGACTGAAAAAGCATTGGTTCAGCATTTTTAAAAATATCAGCCTGAAACTATATGTGAAATCAATTATATAAATAATATAAGGCCGCATGTCCTCCTTTTTCTGAAATTTTCCTGCTTCTCATCTTATATAATAGTCTCCACCCCAAGTCTTCTGCCTAATATCTGCCTCCACTTGTACTTTCTCTTTCAGCTGCATCCAACAAATTACAAGCAATCCTCATTTTGCATGGGGGTTCCATTTTGGACCCCCACAAGCATTGGCAGAGCATGCAGAAGCTGTGCATGTGTGCATGATCATAAGTCATTCAGATGCACCTAAACTGGAACTTGCCTTGTGGGAAATCTACAATCAGGTTCCCAATGTTGTTTCCTCCCTGCTAAATGCAGCTGGGGCTGGGGGGGGGCAAACTACAAGGGGAAGAACTGTAGCTCAGCAGTAGAACATTTGATTTGCATGCAGAAGGTTCCGGGTTCAATTAATGACAATAAGAATGTGTGCAGAGGAGGGTGGCCAAGATGGTCAAGGGTCTGGAAACCAAGCCATATAAAGAATGGTTGAGAGTGTTGGGTATGTTTAGCCTGGATAAGAGGAGACTGAGAGGAACTATGATAGCCACCTTCAAATATCTGAAGGGATGTCACATGGAAGATGGAGCAAACTTGTTTTCTCCTGCTCTGGAGGGTAGGACCTGTACCAATGGATTCAAATAACAAGAAAGGAGATTCCAACTAAAAACCAGGAAAAACTTTCTGGCAGTAAGAGCTGTTTGACAGTGGAATGGTCTCCCTTGGGAGGTTGTGGACTCTCCTTCCTTGGAGTTTTTTAAGCAGAGGTTGGATGGCCATCTATCATGGATGCTTTAGCTAAGATGCCTTCATTGCAGGGGGTTGGACTAGATGACCCTTGCGGTCCCTTCCAACTCTATGATTCTATGAAGTCATGTGCTTTAAATGCCCCAGGTGACCTGTGTGCCTGCAATGCCTGCTGCTCAGGTGCTCACAGTTGATGGTCAACTTCAAGACCCCTGCTTCTCTCCCTTCATATGGGTCTTTATCTCCTAACAGGTACCCCATGTAGCTCTCTGTGGCTAAAACCAGCTTCAGGAAGGAGCTTTAAGTTGGGGGTGGAAGTATTTGGGGGAATGGAGTTAAATGCCCCATCTCCAACATTGCATTTCTGATTCAATCTCCTGGCCACTGCAGGGGCAGCCACTTTTAAAGAAAGAAAACAATGTGAGATCTAATCTAGATGATCCTCAGGCTCCCTTCCAACTTTATGATTCTATGATCTGTGATCTTCTGTGGACTAGCCAGGAGCTCATAAGGAGGGCATTATCTTTTTATTGGTCACACAGCTTGTCAAGCAAAGACATCTAATGAACACATCAGTCATGTTTTTATTTTGACTATGTTTCCAGGTGAAACCCACAGCATTCCTATACTCAATTTAAGTAGCTACACTGAAGAAAAAACAAGAAAATTAGCACATCCTCCATTTTGATGAAATATTTATCTTACTTTCTAATAAATAAGGTTTCAAGAAAATGGAGAAGTTCTGTTTGGGTTTGTGGAATCACATTACGCCAAGCGATTCCTCATGTGTGTAGAGTAGGGATGGAATTTTATGAAATTCTTGGTGTTGAGCTTATCTGTGCAATATTTTTTCCTGACTCCTGTCTTCTCCTTGATCTTGATCAGAAGTGAGGGTTTTTTTTACTAGCTCCACTAAATAATACAAACAACGCTCACATATTATACACATTATTATAAACATAATATTACATGAATGTTTATATGTGTATACAGTCCAGGTTTCCTAAGGGAACCAACACATAAACAGATAAATTCAACTACTGATATTTCGTATCGAGAAACAAGTAAGAATACTTATACCATAATACAGCAAAAATCCAGTACTGCATGAGGCTTGACTTTTTTATGAATGTTATATATACAATATATACATATTTTTGTTTATAAATTTAAATATAATTTTGTGTACAAATACACAGGCTTTTTAGGAAAAGGAAAAGAAAAAGATAATGTGCAAGCAGCTCAGACATAAGCAAATGCTCAGTGTAAGAGGTGGTCCTTTGTGGTCAAAGCTTGATCAGGTTAGAAGCACCAAATTCCATGTATAGATACGTTTAAAATAGAGTCCTCTTCCATCCCTAATGTAGAACAACACACGTGTCCCTTATTTTTCATGCACTGCGTTTTGCTTTCGTTGTGTCCAGATCCACGTGACCATATCAAAGTCGGCTCAGGAGAAACTGCGCCAGAAGCAGTTAAAGGAGATAGAGATTTTGCGCAAAGAAAGAGAAAAGGAAAGAGAGAGAGAGAAGGAAAGGCTGACAAAGTTTGAAGAGCATCTACAGAAAACTGCTCGTGAAGGTATGTGGCGACTTGAGAAATAAAAGGAGCTCGTTATGCAGATTTCGTATGCATTTTGCATCACCCTGAATTTCATTTGCCTTCATTTAACGTGCCTTTCAGAGATCAGATGCACACTGTGTAAGTCAGGAGAAGAAGAAAAAGGTGACCTACAGGGTTGCTACCTTCCCCTGTCTATGACAGCTGCCTGAAAAGCTAACATCCCAGAGGCCCCCTTTGTGAGTGGAGGTTATGGAGGAGCATTCACATGTCTGCTCGGGAGTAAGTCCCACTGAGTTCAGTGGGGCTTATTCCCAGGGAAGTGTGGCTGTCTAGATGTTATTGGAAGACATCTCCCAGAACCCCTGACTGGGATGGCCGGGGTTGATGGGTGTTTGACTCTAAGAACCTCTGGAGCATCTATTTTCTCCATCCCTGGTGTATAGAGTGGCAGTCATGTGAGCCTCCTCTGTCTTCCACTGCAGCCTGCAGTGATATAGTCTACATACAGACTTGCCTCCTCACCTCCTATGTGAGAACTAGGGAAAAGGTGAGATGTGTCCTTGTGTACTTTGGTAGACATGAACAATATTGGAATAATGCACTTATAATGCTGAACAATCTGTGACTTTGACACTTATACAGTGTATTTCATCAACAATTTCACTGCACTTCACAAAAGGTACGCTTAAAAAGGGAGCTACCCTAGCAATGGAGAGACTGTCTAAGAAGGTAGCCTGTAATAATATTCTAGTTCCTGGACCATGTTGAATGGAGATCTATTCTCATCACTATGAAACACACCCATATTTCAGTATACCTGCAGCAATTACAGTCAAGCAACGCAGATGCTCTTCACCAAAATTTATAATTTTATTAAATAAACTATAGCCCGGAGGAAATTTTCATGCGCAGGAAGCACTTAGCCATACAGTAAGAATCTCCCTGATTTAAACACCCTCCACACCCTTGAGATGTGATGCTTTTCAGATGAAATATCCAAGCTGTTACAATAGGAGTGCATATTTAAGATGGGGGAGGAGGAAGGTTTATGGCAGAGCTCCCTAAGTGATCTGATTGCAACTGACATGCAGTGATTGTGCTGCAGTATAAACTCCACAAAGGTCTGCAGCAGCAGCAGCAGAGAAAGTGGCAGAGTCAGCACTCTGCCGGAACAAGGCTCTGGTGCAAGGTCACTTGCTCTTGCTCTTCGCTGTGGGTGGGGGATGGAGGAATGTCAGCCCCAGAGAGCTGGGTGTATGTGGTGGGGCTTTTCTTGCATATCGTTCAAAGTCCCATAGTGCCTACTATTACTACTATTGCAGGTGTAGGGACATGGGTGGTGCTGTGGTCTAAACCACTGAGCCTCTTGGGCATGCTGATCAGAAGGTTGGTGGTTCGAATCCCCGTGACGGGGTGAGCTCCCATCACTCTGTCCCAGCTCCTGCCAACCTAGCAGTTCGAAAGCATGCCTGTGCAAGTTGATAAATAGGTACCGCTGCGGTGGGAAGGTAAATGGCATTTCCATGCACTCTGGCTTCCGTCCCGTATTCCATTGCACCAGAAGTGGTTTAGGCATGCTGGCCACATGACCCGGAAAGCTGTCTGTGGACAAACACAGGCCCCCTTGGCCTGAAAGCGAGATGAGTGCCCCAACCCCATAGTCACCTTTGACTGGACTTAACAGTCCAGGGGTCCTTGTACTATTACTGCTACTACTTCTATTAGTACTTGAGCTCCTTGGAGAAAAAGGTGGGTCATAAATGCAATTACTATTACTATTATTATTTCTCCAAATTCGCAGAGCACACTTCACCATGTCAATATGATTCCAAGGAGGTTTCAAGCAATGCATTGAAATTATTATTTCTGTTCCAACCTTGTGGAGTTTCTTAGAAGAAACATAATCCCCATCAAGTGATGTGTTGTGGTTTACAGAAATACATAAAAATACTACAAGCAAATAATATATACAAATGTTAAAAACACTCAGTTAACAAAAAACAGAGCCACAGCAGGAGGCCATGTGACCTCTTGTTGGGGAGGCACACAAAGAAGGGCCTCAGATTATGATAGTTAACTCCAAAAGTCCATAAGACTAAAAAAGTACTTACTTGCTGGTGGAGACCAATTGTAGCCTCCCCTGTCCAGGCTTTCAGGGGAATGAAGTTTAAACAGTGGGCTCCAGCCTCTCAGGATTTGCTTGGAGTCATGCTGCTGTTCATACTGCTACCAGGTAAGCCCACCAGGGGTCCACCACCAGAGAAGGTGACCCACCTGAGTACACATTTTGCCTAGGCACCTCTCAAACCTGGAACTGGCCCTATGTTTTTTCAGCTGCTAGTTCCCTTCACTCTCTGCTGACTTCCCTGAATTACTTTCTGCAGGTTCTGGGCCACTTAAAAGCAATGGAACCACCCCTGTTGGCCTCAGTCTGAGCAATCCCTGCAGAGCTCCTGTTGGGACGTCCCTGAAGAAACGGGTGAACAGGCCCTCTCTGCCCAGCATCCCCGTCATCAACCATGACAGTAGCTTCCTCAGGCATGCTTCAGGTGAGGCACAAAACAGGCTAGTAACAAATGCAGCTTTTATGGTCGTCAACAGCACTGGATAGAAGTATCAGGCACAAGCAAGGGCTTCCCCATAACCACAATGCGTACTGGAAAAATAAATGGGAAAAGAAACTTCTTGCTTCAAGTATTATAATCTCAGCCAAGCTGGCAATATCACTTTTTCCTTTCACTGGCGTTTTTCAGATCATCTTTTCTTGAAACATTTTTTTAAAAATGAAAGTTGTATTGAGTTTTTTTCCAATATTACATAAAACAGAATAAAGAAATCACAAGCAACAAATACAGGACTGGCCCGCTTGTGGAGGATCATGCCTTGAAACTTCTTGGGTAGCTCAGAAGAACTTGGTGCGTAAGATTCCAACCGTGGACGATAAAATGAGGTGCAAAATTATAAAACATTCCCTGTTGCTGAACCAACAAGCATTGGTTCATGTTGCAAATATGGAAAACCGACAGGTTGCCTTAGGAACTCCCTATCTATTACACTACTACAAAAAGCCAACAGGTTGATTGCAGCCACTTCTCTATTTGCACCCCCTCATTGTTTGTGGCCCTTTCCTTTTGGGAGTGTGTAAGGCATGGCTGGGGAGATTCTTTCAGCATGAGGGCCACATTTGCTTCTGGGCTACCTTCCAAGGGCCACAAGAGAGTCTTTGGCAGGGCCAAAGTGAATGCAAAATTTGCCTTTGTACAGTGGACTGCTTTGTACAGTGGACCATCTTCTACTGAGTCATCTAGTACTAAAGAAATAACTACCCTCTATTTATTTACCTCTGGAGTTCTCCCTGCTTCTCCTGCCCTTTCAAGGTCCCTGTGCAAATAGCATATGACTCAGCATTCTCCTCTGTCGATAGAAAGCTTTATAGTGATTATTATTGTTTTGCTTCGGCCTGCCGCTGTATCACCTTGTCTCGTGGAATGGTTTAGATTTTGCAGTCAAAGCAGGCTGCCAGGATGATTTGATATTAATGCCATGTCTTCACTGGGTCCTCCTGGAAAGTTATACCTCTCTAAAAAAAGTTACGGTATTGTGTGGTATAATTGTTAGGCGAACAACGAGCCCAAATGGAAGATGCCTCTTCAATGTTGCAGATCAGCCAGATGTCACCAATAGGACATAGTGCAAAGGTGGGATGGTGCAGAGTGGGTTTCCACTGCCTGGTGTACCTCTGCCCCCACCAGAGAAGCCACTCATGGGACTCGGAGTAAATGGGATGTTCAGCCCAATACACACTTCGGTGAAAATGGTCTGTTCTCACTGCAGTCCTTTCAATGGAATGCAATTCAGATATGCATCTACAACTCCATGGGAACAGTAAAATGAAATATGACTCCTTATAACAACAACTTATTTGTAGCATTAATTGTAATTTCCTGACTGCCAGTGTTAATTGCATTTATATGCCTGGCTGTTGTTGCTTCATACTTACAGCTAACTCCCTGCCAGCAAACCTCCAGGGTTCTCCGGAATGGGAAGAGGACCTCGTAAATAGAGATGCCTTAGAAATAAGACCCTTGTCTTACCCAGAGCAGGGGCTGGTCGATGCTCTGAAGTGGCTCAATAGCAACGATTGGTAAGGAAAGAGAAAACTGTACCTTTCCCCTGTGCCTCATGCCATAAAGTTAGGCGAGTGGCCTTGTGGCTGCATGAAGGCTGCAGTATAAAGTGAGATTCAAATTCACTTCCTCTGGTTTCCAGACAGCACACGCTCCATCTGTTTTTGTCTCATTCCTTCCCTCCCACAAACCCACAGAGGATACCAAATTGATGGTGGACTTTCACAAGCCCAGTTTGGGAAAATGGTGAGATTGTTTCAAAAGGTTGTGGGCAATGTCAAGGCAGCCCAACTTGGGCCTCCCTTCCTCTTTTTTCACCCAGCCCCATTAAGCCCCACACCCTGAATTCAACTCCATGGACAGTGTCCAGCTAAAAAGCTCTGCTAGGGAAACGAGGTGTAGCTGGAACTTCTCTGTCCTCCTTGTGCTGCCCCTAACCCTGTTCCAGGGTCTTCCCCAATCCTTGGGAGCTGATCTACGGGTCTCGCAGGGGACATATGGGGAGAGGAGAGGGCAGGGAAATCCCATTGGGCAGCTGAAAGTCCTTGCAGTTGTGGAACTGTTCAGTCAAATACTGTCCCACGAGCTTCTTATAGCTGACACCCCTGTGGAGTTGTCCTGCTTTGAGTGGCTTTCTCGACAGCATGAAATCTATGTGTGAGACAAGAGCAATGCCAGCGTTTAGCTCTTGATTAGAATTTGGCTGCCAAGCAGCCACTTCCACTGAATAAACCTTTTTCAGAGACAGCTAACTGTAATTTCCCCTGATTTATCTGTACAGTACAATTTAGAGTACAGGACTTAGAAAACATGACCAAAAGGCCTTTTAAGACTTGAGTCTGGAATACGATAATAAGACCACATCATTAGCCAATAAAGTAAGACTCAATTGCCTCTGCTGTCAAGTTTTGGAGAGTGGCGTTAAGGGCATTGTCAAGTTCATTTAGATACAAAATAAACACCAAGGGGGCAAGAATACAATCTTGCCCAAGGCAGGTCCAAGAGATGTTGCTGCCTGAGGCAGAGTAGCACTAGTATTCCCACCTCATACACATTAAGCACAAGGGCAGGTAAGTTATATTGGCACCTGAGGAAGAAGCTCCCCAAAGCACCTCTCCTACTTGCAGGCAGTAAGTATCTAATAATAATTAAATAACAATTAGCTGCCATTTTGTGACACCCCAAATCAGTTACCTCAGGTGGCTTCCCCACTTTGTCTAATAGTAGCGCTGGCCATGACCCTGCTTAACACCCCCAGACATTGTAATAATGCCAGTGAGTTGCACAATGCTACCACATTTAATTTGAAATGTGTTATTCCCATAGATAATCCTACTTTTTAAAATATACAACTTGATAAAAAGCCTTTCCTAACACACACCATTAGTTTTCTATGGAACTATAAAAGCTGTGCTTTCAAAAAGATGTGGAAGATTCAGTCTTCGTTGCCGCTGGACCTCACAGTTAACATGATTTTTTTCTTTTTCATTGGATATATCTGCCAACCGGTGACAACAATTCACACGTCTCATGATGTGAGCCGTCGTCCACAAAGCTTATGCTATAATCCATCTGTTAGTCTTTAAGGTGCCATGATATTGTTTCTTGTTGCTAAGAGTACAAACACATCTACCTTTCTGGCAGCTGTTGCTCTGGAATTTGTCACCGGTGCTCATTTTTGTCACCAGATCACCTGCAGATGGTGCTGTTAATTCAGAAAGGCAGAGTTGTGAGGGATTATTGGCCTTAAAAGAAGAGGGGGGGGGACTCCACAAGCTTCACCTCTTGAGCCTCACAAGAGAAAAACTTGCCATGCAGGTTTCAGCCCTTTCCAAGGATGGAGCCTATGATGTGGAACTAGTAAATCAATCACACTCTTTTATTCAGCTTAATTCATAGGAGATTCTGTCTAGCACACAGTGGAATGTATTTTCCCCCAATAGTAGTTTTAAAACCATAGTGTATAAGAGCTTCTGTTAAAATTCAGCATCTTTGCTTTTCTGTATTCCCAATGTGTGGCTTCTGTGACACATCTCATTTTCAGACTCTTTTACTGCAGTGAGAAATCCTGTTTCTGCAAAATGCCAGGCGAGACCAATAATTTCCCTTCTCTTCTCTCCCTCCATCTTTCTGATAATTGCCTCTCAGGCATCTGAAGGAGAAAGGACTCTTCAGCATACGATGCTTGGCTACCTGCCATTCAGAAGTTCTCCAGTGTAGACTTCATGATGTTTCCTTGGCAGCCACAAAGGAGGTGGGAAATGTGCATTTAACATATGTCCAATCTATCTTCTCTTGTGGCTTACCTGACACTTTCCAATCTGTTTTTATTTAGCCAATGGGTCTCTGAGCAGCTTTTATACCTGTCTATACCTATTGCTGCCCAATATGCTCTTTATCTTTCCTGGAAAAAGAAGCAATTAATAAGCTGTGTATAACCTGCACGGGGGAGGGGGGCATTCAGCACAAAATAAATCCATGCAAATTAATTAAATTTGCATGCATTTACTCACTTTCCACAAAGCTGTCTGCTTCTGAAACTTAAGCTCTCAGTGACTTTTTACTCTATTTTAGCAAGGAGAATGGCAATGGAGTGAAAGAATAAAAGTTGAGTTAGTATCCACGGAAGAGCTGAGGTCCCACTTTCCTGTCCACTGGGAGCCTGGCCCACTGAGTCACTTTAGAAGCCCTCCTCAGATGCTTAATAGCTATCGTGATCTAGAAGGTCACTTAAAATTTTTTACTAAGTTTCTCTGGATGTCTAGAGTGAAAGCCAGATAACGCAACCTGAAGTTAGCAATCTTCAGAGGCTTTTTTTCTGTCCACCCTGCACCATACTTCTGTAGGGGTGCTTCCCCATGGCTTTCTATTATCTGTTCAGTGCTGCTGAGGCATGCAAGTTTTGTCCAGAAAACGTCATCCTTATCAAAACACTGTCCCATATTATTTCCCCATATAATCCGGATTTACTGTTTCAATGGAAAATCCAATAAGTAAAAACAAAAAAGCAAAACCGCCGAAAGAGCAAATCTGAATTACTGTATTTTCCGCTCTGTAAAATGCACCCGACCATAAGACGCACCTAGATTTTAGAGGAGGAAAACAAGAAAGCAACGCAAAGCCTCTTGAGTGAAGAGGCAGGAGCGCTCTGGCTGCGCTCAAGAGGCTTTGCGTGGCTAGCGCACCGATCCCTCTTGCTCTCCTGGCTTCAGCGAAAGCTGCGCAGCCTGCATTCGTTCCATAAGACGCACACACATTTCCCCTTACTTTTTAGGAGGGGAAAAGTGCGTCTTATAGAGCGAAAAATACGGTAAATGGAGGAAATATATGGGGTGGCCTTTTGAAGAGGACAGGCATCATGTGGACCTTCTGAGAAACTTGCATACATGAGCAATGCACTGATAATGCCTCTTGTGTGTCTGGATGGAGAATATAGAGATGTGTATGCAGAAACTACCCTCCTGTTGTACAAAGGTAAATTTTACATCCATTGCTTCAAGTACTTTTGCCTCTGGCCCCTCACACTACCGTCATGAGGCCCTTGGAAAGTTTTCAGAAGGGAATGCAGCCTTGGGCTGAAAAAGTTTCCTCATTCCTGAGCTATGGCCTCTGCATCTGCAAATACTTGGATTCTGCCATGGTTTTATATAATAAATATATTTTATGTATAAATGTAAGTGGCAAATATCTGTCTAAAATAAAGGAATGAAGAAGAAAGAGAAAGGTACTTGGGTTCTTGTACTCAAGTACCCATGAAGCATGTCAGTTACTGAGGACCCAAATGTGTATACTTCACTTAAAGCAGTGATTAGGAATGGACTAGGGCCATTCTGATGTATATCGGAGGTGGGTTGAAAGATACAGTTTAGTCATATATGTAGCTTTCGTATCTGACCTGATGTACATGCATTTTGTACTTAGTTGCTGAATCCCAAATTCAGAAGAACCTGCAAGTCCAGCCATGTTGATTCTGTCTCTTCTATCAACTGCATCTCTTTGTCTGAAATGCTTCCTCTATTTCCACCCAGAAAAAGGGAGAACAAAAGCTGATCCGAGCTACCTACATTTCCCCAAACCCAAATACGTTATGTGCTGGACTCTGTGAGGCAGCCAATTCTTGGATTCTAGGGAGCTTATTTACCCAACGGCCGCTCTTAACAGCTTTGCTGTTTATTTGATCGCTTAATGGAGAGGTTTTTATTGTTCTCATTTTAAACCCTTCTAATAAAAAGCAGGAGGTAAAAGAAGCCACAGGGGCCATTTCTACACTTGCTCATTGTTTGATCAGCTGACTGGGCTGTTAACATAGCAAAGTTGGCAAGGCCATTAAGCCTTCTGTCATCTGCAGCAAATAATGGCTGGCCATTTGTGTAATTTGTGGTCTCTGGCTTCTCTCTGAAATTATCATGGATGTAGACTTGATTCCCTGTTAATGGGAAGGTTGGAGCATCTTCAAACTTTAATTATCTGAATGTGGGATTCAGTTCTGTGGGATTCAAACCCTCCCACTTTGCGAAACACAAGCAAAGTGTTGACGGCAGGGTGTCTGTTTATACACAGAAAGAAAAATGGATGGCTTACTTCCCTTCCAGAAATCCCCCCCTTTTTCGGTTCATAGTTTTAAAAAGTAATATAAGAAATTAGGACTGATAAATATTTACATCTCTTTTCAGGCATTGGCAGCTCACCCCCCATCTGTCAGGGCATTCAGCTCCTGTTAAGTATTGTGTGTGTAAAAATGAGGAAAGCTGCCCAGAGTGGTTGGGGCAACCCAGTCAGATGGGTGGGGTACAAATAATGATTTTTTGTTGTTGTCTCTCATGTGGAGCACAGCAGCAAAAAGTTCGTTAGTTGCTCAAACCAGTGAGCAACTATTTACCGTATTTTTCGCTCTATAGGACGCACTTTTTCCCCTCCAAAAATGAAGGGGAAATGTGTGTGCGTCCTATGGAGCGAATGCAGGCTTTCGCTGAAGCCTGGATTCAGGCAGCTATCCGCAAGCCTTCTGAGCACAGCGGGTGTTCCCGCCGGGCTCCAAAGGCTTGCGGATAGCAGCCTGAAGCCTGAAGCCCGGGGAGTGCAGCGCTGTGCTCCCCGGGCTTCAGGCAGCTATTCGCAAGCCTTCGGGCTCCGAAGGCTTGCGGATAGCAGCCTGTTCTGGGGGCTGGGGTCAGGGGAAGCTCAGGCTGGGGGGGGGATAAAAAAAAACTTTATTTCCCCCCTAAAAACTAGGTGCGCCCTATGGAGCGAAAAATACGGTATATTATTTTATTTATATTAAGCATTGATGCATGCATATGTTTTAAATGATGGTTAGGAGCTCCTGATTTAGTACTCTCCTTCCTTAGGTTAGATCTGCAGGTCGTGGTACCCATTCAGATGGAGCCATTATCAAAACTGAAACAATTCCATGTTTCTCCTATTCATGATAGGAAGGCAATGCAGATGTACACTGCGAGTGACTCAACTTGATTGGCACATCCTGGTTTATTGTCCACACTTTGTTAAGAAGTGTGGCATTTTGTGGACAATTACAAATAAATTGTCTTGCCTTTGGTTGGTGTGTCAGCATTTGCAGCAGCAAACAGGATCACATGAATGCATGAACGTTTCAGCTTGTAACGTTTCCATTGCCAGGTTAGCAACCTCCGGTCGAAAGTATCTCGGTTTGCTATTGGGACCCTAGCTGACCTCTTCAAGGCCATGAAGAAGCATATGGACCAAGAGGTTGAAGAGATTTCTCGAGTCCTTCTCCAGAAGGCAGGCGATTCTAGTGAATTCATCCAGAAAGCAGCTGATCAATGCTTGGGCGTCATGGCGCAGAATGTGACTCCCTCACGAGCGATGGCTGCCCTCATGGCCAATGGAGTGAAGTACGTGAAGGGCCTTTTCCTCTGCATGCTTGTACTTCCTCAGTTATATCTGGACCAATTTCCTTCCCTCCAATTTTCCTAGATTTTTTTTCTGGGCCCTCACACCTCTTCTTCTTACCCATGACTTGTTCTTTTGAAGTAGAGTAGGGCTGCAATCACGCTGGATAATAAGGCACCAGGATCATGTCCCTGGGGGGTAAACTTTCATGCATGACAATGATGGGTGGGGCTGGAGTCCAAAATGGGTGTGGTCACTCTATGCACTCCCCCTCCCCTTCCTTCTCTCCATAGTCTTCCTTGCTTATGGTTTGCCAGAGCTGAGGCAAAACACTCTCGCCAGAGATCTGAACTGATGGCTTACAGAGGGCTGCTCCCCCTCCTTCAACCACTCCATCTGTTTCAGCTGCCCCCTTTCCATTTTCCTGCTCCCGTCCTCCTTTTCTTCCTGCATGAAGTTAAGCCAAGTGTCACATTCAGGTTTCCCACCCATGCAAGCCAGTTTGCCAGTTAGGGTCAGAACTAGCTGGGTTGGGATATTTTGGCTGAGGCAAGCTGGGGTAGCTGCCAGGCGCCCAGCTCTTTTTTTCACTTTGCAGTATAAGAAAAGAAGAGGTCTCATTCTTAGGACCACTGTGTTTGCAGCCACCGTAACCCCCTCATCCGGAAATGTGCGGCTGAACACTTGCTGATCATCGTGGAGCAGATTGGGGCAGAGAAACTGCTCTCGGGCAACCGGGAGAGTACAAAGCTTCTGGTGCAGACGCTGGTCAAACTTGCTCAAGACTGCAATCAAGACACAAGGTAAACTGCCAGCCAAACAGCTGAGAGTCTTTGAATGCATTTCATTGCAAGCTGATATGGACCAGCCTTTCTCAACATATTGCCCTCCAAATGTTTTGGCCTTCCATTCCAATCAGTCCCAGCTAGCAAGGCCAATGGCCAAGTATGGTGGGAGTGGTTTATTTATCCAGTCATTCATTCATTTCATGAAATTCATATGCCACTCGATTGTAAAAACAAAAACAAAACCAACAACAACAGCTACCCCAAAGAGGTTTGCAAAAAGATCTCCCAGGTCTGATCTAGTCCAATACTCTCATCGCTAGAGCACATTGATACATACATTCATTTTTATTATGAATGAGTGCTGGCAATGAAAAGCGTTCTTGATGTCTTGAATTATGGTATACTTCCTTCGGAATCTGTGGTGGTTCTATTTTTCTGAATTATTTTGTGATTTGTCTTTTGTAGACATTTATATTTTACTCATTAATTGTGTATTTAATTATATTAATTGTGTGTGTTAAATAATATTAACTATATTGTGAACGCTTTGATTTACAATATGGAAATTTAATTCAGTGTGTGGCTCATGGGTTCTGTATCGAAGTACTATCGTGGCCCACTTGGCCTGAGAGGTTGGACCACCCTGAACCAGACCAATGCCACTTTCTGAAACAGAGTCACAATTTTGCCATCAAATGTTCTTAATTAACTTTTACCTCCCTGTGCTAGATTTTATGGCCGGAAGATGCTGAACATCCTTATGTCCCATTCAAAATTTGATGGGTATTTGAAGCAGTGTCTACCATCACATGACTTGCGTGATGTCATGGCTGCAATTAAGCAGAAAGTGAGTATGGAGGGGCACAGAATGTGTTGGGAAGATTTGGTGTTTTATTTCCTCTTTCTCTCTCTGTTTTTGTTTTTATTTAGATTATTATTATTTTACCTTACTGTATTATGAAAAAGCTTTAATAAAATCTCTTTATAAGAAATATTTGCGCTGAAAGTGGAATCAGAAGATCAAATATATTTCATTCTTTGGTAAATAAAAATTAAGGGCTGGATCCAAGCTCAATCATGTTCAGAGCAAGACATATGAAATCTCTCAGACTTGTTAGGACCAGCAGCAAAGCTCTGCAGAATGCCTCTTTTCTTACCAAGTTGGCAAGAGGGGAGGCATCCCACCACCCAGCTTTGCTACTGGGCGGGAAGGAAGCTTTGGAAACTGATTCTCCTTCAAGAGAAGTGCTTTCTAAAGCTCCCCTCCCTACTGTAGTCTGGTGGGCTGGCAAGGCTTGACGAGGCCTTCTCTGAACCTCATGCCCCTCTCCACTGTGGGGGTGGCAGGGGGTGTTTTGCCTCCAGTGCTGAAATGTCTCAGGCCACCCCTGCGCACTCACATCCTGCCTGCAGGCTTCCCACAGGCATCTGATTGGCCGCTGTGAGAAAACACGATGCTGGAATAGATAGGCCATTGGCATGATCCAGCAAAGATTTTCTTAGGATCTTAAGCATATGTTTGTGCCCATACATCTCCTCTTCAAATGTTACAGGAGAAGTTTGAAAATACTGCAACTTGTCTATGTGTAATTTCACTCTTTGTTAAAATGCCTATATCAGGGGTCACACAACTTCCCAAGCACCCCTGATTTTGATGGCAGCCATAGTGAAACGAAAGCATATTTAAAGCAGGCACAGTGTGGATTGCTCCCTCCCAAGTCTTCAGTTTGATCGAGTGCAGAGGGGGCTATAACCCTCCCAATCCAGCTCCTTTCTATGGAGAAGAAGAAGAAGAGTTTGGATTTGATATCCCGCCTTTCACTCCCCTTCAGGAGTCTCAAAGCGGCTAACATTCTCCTTTCCCTTCCTCCCCCACAACAAACACTCTGTGAGGTGAGTGGGGCTGAGAGACTTCAAAGAAGTGTGACTGGCCCAAGGTCACCCAGCAGCTGCATGTGGAGGAGCGGAGACGCGAAACCGGTTCCCCAGATTACGAGTCCACCGCTCTTAACCACTACACCACACTGGCCCTCTGGAGGGTGTGTGTGTGCCTGTGTGTTTGAATAAGAGAGCGGGGCCAGAAACAACCACTGGGGCCACACCAACCACTGGACTGTAGTGCTTGGAGGGTTGACCAAAGGCCAGTGTGGCCTTTGACTCAAGAAAGCTTAACCACTCCTGGCCTATGCATTTCTCTATGCAGGGATTAGAAGACCAATCTTCTCAAGCTCCTTCTGCCAAAAGCCACAGAGGGTCGAAGAGCAGCAGTCTGACAACCTCACTGGACAGCCTGCCTTCAGAGGAAAGGTATGGAGCACCCCTTGGCTCTACTAAACTACTCTGCATGCTCAGAGCTGTTTTTCTTTCTGCTATCTTTTAGCATGATATGTTTTCGTGGGATCCATTGTGGTTTCCTTCATTCAATAAAAATGTCTGCTGAAAAGGCCCTTGATTGTGTTACTGAATGAAATTACCAGAAGCATGTGCTGTCCATCCCCATGAATCCTAGCTCCTTGCTCTCTATACCTTAGACAGGACCTTCCTGATTTCCTCCACCTCAGCCTTCTTTCACTTTCCCCACTTCCATTTAGGAGTATAGCATCTAGATCAAGGGAAGTAATAGTGCCACTGTATTCTGCTCTGGTCAGACCTCACCTGGAGTACTGTGTCCAGTTCTGGGCACCACAGTTCAAGAGGGACACTGACAAATTGGAACGTGTCCAGAGGAGGGCAACCAAAATGGTCAAAGGCCTGGAAACGATGCCTTATGAGGAACGGCTAAGGGAGCTGGGCATGTTTAGCCTGGAGAAGAGGAGGTTAAGGGGTGATATGATAGCCATGTTCAAATATATAAAAGGATGTCATATAGAGGAGGGAGAAAGGTTGTTTTCTGCTGCTCCAGAGAAGCGGACACGGATCAATGGATCCAAACTACAAGAAGGAAGATTCCACCTAAACATTAGGAAGAACTTCCTGACAGTAAGAGCTGTTCGACAGTGGAATTTGCTGCCAAGGAGTGTGGTGGAGTCTCCTTCTTTGGAGGTCTTTAAGCAGAGGCTTGACAACCATATGTCAGGAGTGTTCTGATGGTGTTTCCTGCTTGGCAGGGGGTTGGACTCGATGGCCCTTGTGGTCTATTCCAACTCTATGATTCTATGATTTTTTTGCCAGTCATCTTCCACTTTGGCACATCCGATAACTTTACAGCCAAAGTGAATTAATTATGTGGGTTCAGTAAATTAAAACATTTTGCTTCGGTGCATTATACGTTTTGAATTTCAAAAATTGTGTTGGTGCTGAGTTAGGGATGGAGGAAAAATTCATTTCAGCTTGCATTCAAAGGTGAACCTGCCCAATTGGCCCTTCCCAAAACAACTGAAGAACTGAAACACAGCTGTCTTTCAGTGTATGCAGTTATTAATGTTTTGCAGGACAGTTCTCCAACTGAGTAATGTGTACCAAAAATGCAGATACTAAAGTGTGTATAACATGCATATATTCAAGAAAATAACATACAAAAAGCCATTAAATTATGAAAATTGTGTACAAAAATATATAGCAGGCAAAACTGCATATAACAGTGTGTGTATTAGGACAAATTCACACTAAGACATGTATGAATTTTCATGAGGATTTTTTTTTAAACAACCACGAACTGATGTGGAAACGTGGAAGAACAGAAGCTATGATTGAAAAAATGAGAAACAGAAACAGACAATTCCCCCACTCCTAGTCATGAGAGCAATGTAATTGGGCAATGTAATTGAGTGCTGTCATTTAAGTACTATGAATGCATAACACAATGAGTAAGCCTTTGGTTCTCAATGCCAGCTCTGTCCCAGATGTCCTAAGCATCCCGCAGTCAGTGGCTCGCCGCTCGTCGCTTCGCAGCATCGAAATGATGGAGCAGCTCAAGGAGCTGAACAAGATGCTGGTGGCGAAGGAATTCCAGATGCGAATGGAGGGAGTGGCGTTGCTAATGGAGCACTGCAAGAACAACCCCCAGCTTGTGTCCTCAAATATCATACAGGTACTTAGATGCCATACATTTGGGTGCCAGTAGCCTTAATACAGGTGACCCATTCGCTGAGATTAGGTTGGGCCATCTTAATCCTGATTCCCTACTCAGTTTAACTGATGGGCGAACTATGTATTATGTGAGATACATGGCTGTGCCTTTAAGCACAGATTGGTAGTGTAATGGGGGAAGGAGGTTTAATCCTTGGCCCTACTGTGGTTGTGATCCAGATTTGGGGGCTCTGTACCTGTAAGTACAATAAAAGAGATCCAAATGGATTATGGCTACAGTGGGGAGTAAAGTTTCTGAGCCTCCCCCCTGTTGGGAAGCTGTGTACGTGCAGCTACTCACACAGAGGCAATTAAGGTTTGGCAGACAGCCAGAAGGTCATGTGAAGGAGTAAGTCTGCCTGGTGATAACAGAGACATAAAGACAGCTCCCTGATTAGTCAAGCTCTCTCAAGGGAGTGATAATTAATGGCCTACTAACTGGAATGTGTTAGTTCTGGAGTTCAGTGTTCAGAGTTCTGTGTGTCAGTGTAGGAGTTGTGAGTCGTGTATGAGAGAGCTAGCTAAAGATCCGTATTCTGTTCCTGTAAATAGTCCACTGTATATAATAAACACCTAACTACAAGTTCCTGGTTCCTGCTTCGTCTATCCTGTTTGCAGCCAAGTCGCCAATTGCTTCTGTGGATTCTGCGTTTACTCTGCTAGGTCTGGCTAAGGTCCTGCAACTAGTCAGAAAGTTGCAAAAAACCAAATAGGTTTTGCCATGCTAATATTCCATTTTGAGTTACAGCCCCTTGCTAAGATCCCAGTGTGGATTGCTAGCGCTTAAATGCACAACTACATAGCTAATATAACATATATTTTGCCCTTATGTAAGGGCAATGTTCAATGTGCTGCTGTTTCTGAAGAACCTTCGTAGCAGTTGCTGCTTCTTGGCCTCCATCTCTCTGTAAACTGTGGAAAGAAGAGATCTTGGTTTCCAGGAACATAGTGTTTGTTTACAGGTTGTATAGAGGAGTTAAAAACAAAACAAAACTGGTTACATTCAAGAGGGCAAGGAGGCAGCTATAGAGTACCACACCCTATTAATAACCCAAAGAATGAATGAATCAATCAATCAATCAATCAATCAATCAATCAATCAATCAATGCCCTCCCTTAACTACATGTTGCTGATCCTGGCTTGATTATTCCTTCACCATCATAGAGCTAACTTTTGTAAAACTTCCTCAACATAACGCAGTAAATTAGACAAGGGTATCACCCTATCTCAAACCAAAATTATCCCCAGTTTTTTTAGTTTGGTTTGTTAGGAGCTATCTCTCCACTATGAGAAATGGTAGTACGTACAAAAAGAGGTTCTGATGGCTGTGAAGACACTATATTGAAATGTTTTGCTTCCATATGTAGACTTGTAACTGACTCTGTTTCTCCACTTTTCTGTGCTAACAGCGCAGTATGCTATTTACAGTAGGATTTACTTGTTCTTTTTTGTGTTAACAGATCTTTGATGCTTTTACTCCGAGACTTCAGGACTCGAACAAGAAAGTGAATCAGTATGCATTAGAGTCAGTTGCTTCCATGATCCCAATCCTCAGAGATGGTTTAAATCCAGTCCTGGTGTCTGTGGTGACTGTAGTCACTGACAACCTAAACTCAAAGAATTCTGGGATCTACAACGCTGCAGTGAAAGTGCTGGACAAAATGATTATTCATCTAGGTATTTATTAATTTATGTTTACCTTTCTATCACACCTTTATATTGCTTCCCACCAGAGATCAAGGCTGGAACCCATTTGCCTCCATAGAAGGCTCTCTTTTGAAGCTGCTTGTAGAGTAGACACTTCTAAAGCTAAAATGAAACATTTTAAAATAGTTTTTAAGTGTTTTAAAAATTATCTAAGATGAGGAGCAGCCATTGCTTGTTTATCTCAGAATCCAAATTGTGTAACTTGATATCTGAGTCTATAAGCTGACCTCATGGCTACAGCCTAATTTGGTTTTTGGGTTTTTTCCCCCTTTTCTTCATCTGCCTTACCCAGAGTTGGCTCAATATATTTTGCTGCCTGAGGAAGAAATGGAATTCTGTGTGCTGCCCCCTTTCAGGATACATTGTACCCATGGCCAGCCATGTTCCTTTGGCATCTGATGCAGAAAATCCTACTCCCACAAGCATTCCCCTTCTGAAGAGAAAAAAATATAGTAACAAACTCACAGAGCAACTCTAATGAAAGAAAACTGACATCATTTATGACAGCTTAAGTTTAATATTTTAGCCCTTTTGTTTGTTTACTGCTTATGGAGAGATGTGCTGATTTTTGTATTTTTTTAAACTGTGCTACTTTGGTTCTACTTTTCTCTACACAGAGTAAACCTGTTTCTGGAGCTGTAAATCTGCCACCTTTCCCCTGTGCTAAATTCTTACAAGAAAAGAAATGTTATGCATGTGGAATGACGGCAGACTTGGAGCTGAAATGAGAGATGACCTTTCAGTGAGGGTCACTAGGGGAAAATGTTGTGCTGCTGTCAGGGAATAACGCCTCATTAAAAGCTTGTACAGTGTGATTAAAGTGACTTGTCCTGGGTGATCTGTACAGTGGTACCTCAGGTTAAGTACTTAATTCGTTCCGGAGGTCCGTTCTTAACCTGAAACTGTTCTTAACCTGAAGCACCACTTTAGCTAATGGGGCCTCCTGCTGCTGCCGCACCGCCAGAGCACGATTTCTGTTCTCATCCTGAAGCAAAGTTCTTAACCTGAAGCACTATTTCTGGGTTAGTGGAGTCTGTAACTTGAAGCGTATGTAACCTGAAGCGTATGTAACCCGAGGTACACTGTACTCAGTAGGAGCAGATACATTTGTGTATTGCTATTGGTACTAGGGTGTTCAGAAAATATTGATTTCAAATAAAATTAGCTTTACGTTGAAGGCTGGACGAACATATGCATTACAACTGTGTCTAAGATGGAAGAGTAAATGCTATAATTTCAGATTTCAGGTGTGGATCCACATTTTTCATTGTTCAGTGTATAAAAATTTCTATGCATGTAGAAATTTAGGACACCAAGGGAAGAGGTTCTTGTCCTGCCATGCTGGTTTTCTACTCGCAGGAAATATGTTGGAGGATATTAAGAAATGTGAAGTTTCACACCTGCAGTCTGAACCTGAACATTCTGCCCCCACAATCACATCTCATTCTGCAGCATGTGGAGAGATACAGCCCGAAAAGAGTCCTGAACATGCTTATTAGAAGGCAGGACTAAAGCCAGGACAGAAGCAAAGTATGGAACACTATGTAACTTACTTCTGAGCAAACATGTATAGGCTTACATAGTTAGGAGACTTTGACCTGGACCAGTGAGCATGTTTGAAAGGTAGAATCAAGGAGAACTATGGGCTGGGAGCGTGGGATGGGTTTAGAAGGTTAGAACAAACCAATGGGAAACACTTGAGACACGTAGCTTGGGTCTCAGCAGCATTTTCCATCACAGCAGTTCTTCATGTTAGCCTGCTAAACATGGATTTGCATTTCTGGTGGCTTTCAGCATGTTGAACCAGTCTTGTGAATGCTCTGCATGTGCTCACATTGTAAGTTGCCATATCCTGGAAGTCCTTTCCAAAGCATGTTGGATGTGGAGAATGTTGAAATCCATGGAAATAGTTGACTTCTATGAAAATTGTCATGAAGCAGTTTTATGTTATAAAGGTAAAGGGACCCCTGACCATTAGGTCCAGTCGCGGACGACTCTGGGGTTGTGGTGCTCATCTTGCTCAACTGGGTACCAAATCCGATTTCTAACAAATGTACAGCTGAGAACACTTAGAGTCAGAGGCATAAATAGATAATAATAATAATAATAATAATAATAATAATAATAATAATAATTTTTTTATTTATACCCCACCCTCCCCAGCCAAGGCCGGGCTCAACCAATAATAAAACAAGTTGAATGAATACAACTTAAAAACAAGATTAAAATACAACATTAAAACATTAAAATGCAGCCTCATCACAGGAGGAGAAAGGAAAAAAGAAAGAGGGGGAGGGAATCAAATTGACTCCAAGCCAAAGCCCAGGCAGAACAACTCTGTCTTACAGGCCCTGTGGAAAGAAATCCGATCCTGCAGGGCCCTGGTCTCATGAGGCAGAGCGTTCCACCAGGCTGGAGCCAGTGTTGAAAAAGCCCTGGCTCTGGTAGAGGCTAATCTACCTTCCTTAGGGCCCGGGACCTCTAGGGTGTTGCTATTTATGGACCTTAAGGTCCTCCGTGGGGCATCCTGGGAGAGGCGGTCCCGTAGGTACGAGGGTCCTAGGACGTGAAGTGACAACTTGTGACTTCAAGTATGAGCATGAAATGAATGAATGAATGAATGGGGATATCAATTGTTCATAGGAAGGTCACATGATGAGATTTGTTTACTAAGCCCCAGCATCTGGTGAAAAATATAGTGTACTAGGGTGATGACAGCACCTGGTCACATGACAAAGCTAGTTTCTATCAGTTTCCCACATTCTTCTACATACCCTTTGGTAATTGTACAAATGGACTTTTCCTGGTAAAAAGTCATGTGTCTCCATCCCCCAAAGTATTTTGTTCTTGTAGCTATCTGGACATCCTAGTGAGTTATTTTGCTCTTGAAGTGGGCGATAGTCCCACAAATAAGCTTCTTCTGCGCAGGTTCCATGGGAAGCCTTAAGTTATGAGTCTCAGCTAGCTCCTTCTCCTGTCTGTAGTCCATAAATATTCCCAGGCTGCACTCTTCTTTTGCAAAGGAAATTTATGGTTTGCTGAGTTCATTTCTGAAGAACAAACAAGCATAAATCCAGGTCTAAATGACGGCTTGTTCCAAACGTTGTTCTCCGTAGGCTGAAATTGCTGTTGCCAATAACTACACAACCAAGGACTGCTATAAATCCCAGGCCACGTGGATTTATGTTGGCAGTGGAAATGCAGTGTTGGGTGGGTAGGCAAGGCATACTATAGGGTGATCAAGAGTCAGGACTGAAGTTGGAGCTAGCATACATGTTTCCTAGTCGGTTTGCTAATTTTCTTATGGGACAGATTTTCTAAGGACAGATTGTGCGTGTGTGAAGGAGAATGGCCACTGTATTTGAGGTCAGAAATGAATTTACTCCATGTTCTGATTTCTTGGTGACGGTGGAGCATATGGGCAGTCATCTAGACTCTTGAATTATTTGCGTCCAGTCCAGACAAAGACAGTCCCAACCAACAGTCAGAGGCAATATGCTCCTGAATACCAGTACAAGTGGAGAGGGTGCTGTTGCACTCAGGATCTGCTTGTGGCCATCCCATGGCCATCAGGTTGGTCAGTGTTAAAACAGGATGCTGGACTAGATAGACCTTTGGGCTCCTCCTACATTCTTATGTTATGTTCTTAATTTCCACAGAAATTAAAAGGAATTAAGTGCAACACGTGTTGTCTTCACACATTACTCATGGGGAGAAGGTTAAAATGGTGACAGTGGCTATGGGGGCCATGCACCCCAAAGCCACGCTGTTCCTCCTGCCCCTCCTGCGTTTATCATGACTTGTGTAGTGAGGAGCCTTCCTTAACTTGAGGAGGCTCCCTGTGCAATTTAGAAAACGGAGTTCCCAAGGATTGGTTTTGGGACCTGTGCTTTTTAATTTGTTCATCATACAGCTAGTGGTGATCAGTGAAGGTGGCCATGTTTGCTGATGATACCAAAATGTTCTGGAAACCCAAAGCCAAAAAAAGATTGCGAAGAGCGACAAAAGGACGAAACTGAGTGAAAGGGCAATAAAATGGCAAATGTAATTCAGTGTAAACAAGTGTAAAGGGATGCATGTCAGGGTAATAATAATAATAATAATAATAATAATAATAATAATAATATCACCATGGAACTGTAGCAGATAGCTTGATATTGATGGTATTGATACTGATGGTTGAACCAGTGTGCAGCAGTTGTGAAAAAGGCAAATTCCATGTTTGGGATGATTAGGAAAGGAAGTGAAAAAAAGAACTGCTAGTATCAAAACAAACAAAACTGTGGTACAACCACATTTGGAATTCTGTATACCATTCTGGTCAGCTCACTTTAAAAAAAGATATTGTGAAATTGGAAAAGTTCCGAAAAGGACAACCAGAATAATCAAGGGTAGATCAACTTCCCTATGTGGAAAGTTTACAGAGTTGGGGGCTTTTGTGTTTAGAGAAAATAAAGTAAGAGGTGACATAAATTTATAAAATTATGCCTAGATGGAGAAAATGGATAAAGTTCTTCTCCCTGCCTCATAACACACCAGAGCATATTGATATCCAATGAAGCTGAACGCTGGAAGATTTAGGACAGAGAAAAGGAAGTACTTTTCCAAACAGTGAATAGTTAAACTGTGAAATTTGCTCTCACAAGTGGCAGTGATGGCCACCAAGTTGGATGGCTTTAAAAGAGGAACAGACAGATTCATGGAGGAATAAGGCTATGAGTGGCTACTAACCTTGATGGATATGTTCTGCCTCCACAACTGGAGGTAGCATGCTTCTGAATACCAGTTGCTGGAAACCGCAGGAGGGGAGGGTGTGGTCGCACTCAGATCCTGCTTGTAGGCTTCCCATAGGCATATGGTTGACCAATGTGAGAACAGGATGCTGGTCTAGACGAGTCACTTGCATGATCCGGTAGGCTGTTCTTAGGACAGCTGTTTCAGAAAAGTTGCAGCTTCTGCGAAACTCAGCTGACATAAGATAGAAGGATGTCTCATACTGTCTCATACTGAGGTCCACTTAGAGCGGTATGGCTTATTCATTTCTGACCATCGTCATCGGCTGTGAAGGTAACAGACAGAACGTATTTACCTGCCTCTTAATCAGAATCACCAGATTTTTAAAGCTGGGACCTTAAACATGCAAATCATGTGCAATGCCATTGAGTTCTGGCTCATCCTCTCTAGAATGCCATCTTAATTGCTGCATGTGTCTGTCAAAATCAGTGAACAAGGACATACATAGTGACATGCATTTACTGGGCTGCCTCTAGATTATGAATCTCCCTTCCCCCAGGCAGTCACTTTTACAGTATCTTTTGGAAGCAGTGTAAAGTATTTCTATTTGGACTAGCTTTTAACAGCCAGTGTGATGCTTTTAGCACATTTTATAATGTGTTTCCTTTTGCTTGATGTTGATATTATTATTATGCAATTCTGGAATATATAGTTGTCCACTTGTCCTTTTTAATTTGCAATCCACTTTTAGCTCAATGATGAGTATGATGGAGTTTTAAATAAATACAAAAAGAATGTGGAAAGTTTTTGGTTTGTTTTTTTCAAAAAGAGTTTACCTCCCGGGTCCCTTAAACATTTGCCCCTTCACAATTCGTAGCAGTCAAGAATCAACTGGAAAAAAGCAAAGCTAAGAAAACAGAAAACAGAAAATCCATTTTTTGTTTGACACTCTCTGTTTTCTGATGGTGTTGATGTGTGTGCAGAGCCAGACAACATTGTTATTTCGGTGATGAATGAAAAGAATAGTTGCTGGCTTCAGCAGGATGAAGAAGTGCTTTGAAATGCTAATATAAGAAATAGAAGAGATGTGCAAAGTATTCATTATTGATGTTCATTCACTTATTAATACAGTATCCATGAAGACTTTACTTCACCTTTAAAACTGCCTTTGAAATTCACTTTAAAGCAAGCACAATACATGTGTACTCCCCCTTTCCCCTTTGTCGTTCTAAAAAGAGCACCAACAAGTAATTGAAAGGTGTTTAACCAGATCTCTTTTCAGTAGAGGCAAAGAAAAGGGATGTGATGTAGGGAAGCAAAGCTTACCTTTACCTGCACCTAGGGATGGGAGAGAAATTGGATTCAATTCACATTTAAAGGCAAACCTACCCAATTCACAATTCCTGAAGCAATAAAACAAACTGAAACACATCTAGTTTGGGAGATCTGCTCATCTTGGGATTTTGCAGTACAATTCTACAAGCAAGTCATGTGTACAGTTATGCATATACTAGGGTAAAGTTTACATAAAAATGCATATAAGTGAAAATAGCATACAAACATGCATTATCAGGGAAAGCTGCATACAAAAATGTGTTAGGAAAAATCCACACTAAACTGCTAGTGAATTTTCATGAGGACTTTAAAAAAAATATTGGGGGAAAGGTGGAGAACTGAATTTGAGATTGAAAAAATGAGAATTTGAGAGATCCGCTTTTCTCTAGATACAGATAACTTTCTGTCTCTTTCAATATTTCAATGTTTGATGTTTGATGAATCTTTTATATTTGTTTGAAGCCACATGGAGTAGCTGGGGCAACCCAGTCAGATGGGGCCGGGGGAGAAATATTAAAGTTGTTGTTGTTTATTTTCTTGGTTTATAACAATGTCCAAACAATGTGTTTCTGTCCCTTTCAGATAATCTGCTTCTGCTTCAAACATTTGCCAGCAGGGTGCGCTTCACCAGTGGTCGAGCTCTGCAGGGGATCACAGACCACCTGTCAGGTAACAAATGACTTCACTAAACTGCAGTACCCATGGCAATGAACAAAGCAATAGCTTGTATAACAGCAGGAGGCAAAGGGCTTCTTTCTTCACAGCACAATTTCTTTTATTGTCGTTTACACCTTTTTGAAGTGGAAGTGAGGGCTGCTTCTTGTCTTGTCTTTAGAGCACACACACACACACACACACACACACACACACACACACACACATATATATAATCATTATACAGTCTACTGTAACATATGAAGCAGAAAACTGGTTTAATCATATAAACTACCAACAAGGAAATCAAATAACAATTTGTTTGCAAAGCCACATTAAACCACAGTTTCCTAGTTCAATTGTAATGAGAAACTGGTTTAAGAAACTGGAAGTTTTCTATTGTGGGTCATGAGGGAGGTAAAAGGCAAAGGTAAAGGACACCTGGACAGTTAAGTCCAGTCAAAGGTGACTATAGGGTGCAGCACTCATCTTGCTTCAGGTCGAGGGAGCCGGTGTTTGTCCACAGACAGCTTTCTGGGTCATGTGGCCAGCATGACTAAACCGCTTCTGGCGCAACAGGACAGCGTGACGAGTGCCAGAGCGCATGGAAATGCCTTTTACCTTCCTACCACAGTGATACCTATTTATCTACTTGTACTGGCATGCTTTCAAACTGCTAGGTTGGCAGGAGCTGGGAGAGAGCAAAGGGAGTTCACTCTGTTGCACAGATTCGAACCACTGACCTTCTGATCTACAAGCCCAAGAGGCTCAGTGGGTACCTTCATCCTCAGTCAAACAAACCATTGTTTATTAGTTTCTTACATTCAAACTGGGTCACTTTTATGCACACACGAGAGAATAATCATTTCAGAAAGCACACCTGTGCCTTTTAAATGTAATCTACAAAGCCACTTGCCACAGAAGCAGAAATTGTGACCACATTCCCAATGAATTTCTGATACTAGACCTGAGATCAGATTTTCTGTATCGTGACCCCACAGAACAGACTCAAGCCCCCAGACATGAAAGCAGCTCTCCTAATATCAAAGGTTTCAGTAAATTTTCCATCAGACATTTTGATTTTTGCAATCAACCTTTGACTCAAAAACTTGTTAAATCATTCTTTGTGAGCCCCTGACCACATGGCAGGACTCATAGAGCGCTTGTCGCTTCCTCATCAGATATCACCCAAAGGTCATTGGTGTCATGGGAGTTTGACCCATCATGTACCCGTTAAGAGTTGCAGTCTGTGAATTTGATATGGCCATTTTAGACAGCTCAATACACGAAATAAATAACCAAGCCATCTATCATGGCATAGGTCACTAAAACCCAACAGCGTTCTAGAACTATATATTTCCTGAGGAAATGTAGCATCGAAGTCTCTGGTTTCTAAGAATGATGGTCACTTAAGACCAGGAGCTCTTCCATTTAGTAACATTTACCTAATGAGAAAAGTCATCTATTCTATCTATCATTTTCTGTACTCTGCTTCCAGAGACTATAGCCAAATGCATTTTTTATACAGTGAAAATGAACGGTAGTGGAAAAATTGAAGAATTATCAGGCATTGGGGTGTAGGATGTATGTGTTTATGCTTACCTTATTAATTGTGAGAGGTGGAAAAAGCATCATAAGAGTAGCACAATTCTCCGTGCACACAAGTCAGTAAGGAATGCCCATGGGCCTATGCAATATTCTGGGGTCTCCTGAGTGTCCCAGGGAGTGTTGCTGGGCTAGAAACCTGCATGTAGAGAGCCTGGTGCTATCAGAAGGTGCAGCTCCCTGACCTTCACTTCTGAAAAATTATTCTAACTTTTCCTACCCCTGCCCTCTGGTGGGACATCTTTTATTTACCCGCCCTCCCCCTCAAATGGCCAAAAATAGTTCTGACAAAAGGTTCACCCCTGCCCTAACTCCTTGCACAATATGGCTATGCTTCTTGGATAACTAAAACAACACTGGGACTGAGACTCTTCGTATGTTTAGGACAGTTTTCAGTGGGTATGTGCAGAGTCAGCGTCAAACGTCAGCATGATTGAGCATTGGCCAAGAGTCCACATCACAGAAAGGGGTCCCACTAAGAAATGCCCCCTGGACCCCACTGAAAGAGGTGGCTTATGGAGGGTATCTTGCCCAAGGGCCCTCCAAAACCCAGAACCAATTCTGGACATGTGTGATGGATTCCTTTGCATGTAGAGACACAGATTATTCTTCTTCTTAACAAACTTTTGCATCCTGATTGTGTGACTATGTTCAAAGAAGTGAGCAAATCATTATCTTTCTTCTGCATTGCAGTTCTTGTGGCTTTTGCTTATCCACGGAAACCCCAGGCTGTGGAGCGTCACGTCCTTCCCATTCTCTGGTATTTCCTGAGCAACATGATTGGCAATGGTGTGCTACCTGGAAAGAGTGGAAACGTCAGAGCAGTGGTCTCCAAACTTGCTAAGAGCCTGCACAAGCAAATGGGACCCAAGCTTGAGGAGTGTGCCTCCAGCCAACCACAAAACGTGATCAGAATCCTCCAGGACCTCCTAGATACGAAACTCCCATGAAGGAGACACAGTACCATCTCTGGGACAATCTACTGTTTGCCGCTTCAAGAGAGATCAGAAAAAGAAGTTGCGGACAATGATACAGTGCTTGCCATTATTTATGTTATTTTTTAATATAATAACTAACTATGAAGAGTTTATAGTAATATTCCACTATGGAAAGTGTATATAATATATTTTGCAGTAGAATTAAATCCCCTATTTTTCTAAATCTTAATTTGCTCAACTTTTGTCTCATAGAGACTTACAAGTTATTATTTTAAAAAATCTGTGTACAGTTGTAATTTTTATCTGTATAAAGCAAAGCACTTTATTTATGTAATAAATATGTGTCAAAGGAGGGAGCAAGGGTGACAGAGATGAACTTCAGTGGGCAACATGTTATACCATGGGGGGTTTGCCAATGCAATTGGGCATGGTTTTTTTCTTTTGGATTACATAGTGATCTGTGATTGATGGCCTGGGTGTTTCCTGTTTGTGTTCCTATTGCACCAGGTGCACATCCACCCCATACATTTACAGCACATGGCTACCCTCAAAGAACACTGGGAACTGTGATTTAGCCCTCACAGAGCTACAGTTCCCAGCACTCACGTCAAACTACAGTTCCTAGGGGTGGAGCCTTGCTCAGCCAGATTTGTAGCCAAGTTCTGTGTGACAGAACTAGCTGGGAGCCAAAGAAACTAGGATGATCACAAGAATGCAGTGAGGGAAAAGAATTAAAGGTCAGGAGCTGAAGGATGAGAGTTACCGCACCAACAGTTGGTTTCACCCAACTGCTGCTTCAAGTATTAGAGAGCTGAGTAATGTTAAATTCTGTCCAATAAGCTACCGTGATCTTGGTGGTGGCACCAGGGCAGCAGAATGAGCAGGAGAGCTTCCAAATGCAGTGGGCCTGACTTACCACATAAAGCAAGTGATTTAATATATAATATTATATGTCCCTATAGGTAGAGTAGTGCCCGGTCTTGAAATCTCCCAATGAGAGGATTCACACCCCATGAGCTCTCATAATTTGTGTGTTATGCCTGAGGCTTAGTTCCCTCTGTGGTGGTAAACCCATACTTTGCAGACGGCAGGAGAGGCCTCATGTGACCAGATGTGTCTTCAAAGAAAAAATTACAGCAAATGAAGCAGTAAGAAGAAGTGCCTAGCCAGTTCTCCATGTGCATGTTTTTGGTTTTGGTATGGAGAACATTTCAGTCATGCGCTGTCAGGAGTGTGTGCAGGAGCCAGGCTCTGTGACTGGTAGGGCCTCGCAGGACTGGGGCCTTCCTGAGCTTGGCCTGGAAGGGCAAGGCGTGGCCGCACAGGTGAGGCTTGAAAGAAGACTCGTAGCACCTGTGGCAAGGGCCGGGAGGGGTATATAAGACCAGCATTTCCCTCTGGCTCTTTGCCATGGCAACACACTACCCACCTAGCTGTGCTTTGGCTTCCTGACACTTGGTATCCTGACTCTTGGACCCTTGGCTTCCTGACCCCTGGACTGCTGGTTCCTGCTTCCTGACCTCTACCACGGTCCCAATGTACCAAGCCGGGACTCCGACTGTCCGTAACCCGGACTGTGACATGCGCACTCTCCAGCCTGAAGTTTGAAATGGTACCAGTTTATCACCTTGGTGAGAACTTGGCCTAAGATGGCTCGCTTTGGCAAGGAACTTGTGAAACCTTTACAATCCAATGCCTGTTGTGTAGAATATGTGGTGTCAGATGGCAGTTGACTCATTGTACTATTGAGACCAGATTCTCATACCTACTTCTGATAAGGTCTAATTGCCACAGACTACTATTCTTATTTTTATCCTTCAGGTACAGATTAGAAGCACTGTCACAATCCTAGTGTGGTTGACTGGTGGTGGAACCAGCAGCTCCATTCCTGTTCATCTTGCGATGCTCCAGCCTGCAATTCATGTGTGATGTGAGGGGATGTTGGAAATTTTTTTGTAATACTACATTCACATGGCATAATGAAAAAACAAACACCAAGTCAATAAAACTGCTAGCACATTTGGAAAGCTAAGCAGGGTCTGGTATGGTTTCAAACTGGATGGGGGATGAGATTCCTGCATTGCAGGGGGTTGGACTGGATAACCTTTGGGATCTCTCCCAACTCTAAAATTCAATGATTCTAAGTCCTGAAAATAAGTTCTGTGAACTAGGTAGCTCACTTGAAAAGTTTGCATTTGAAAGTGGTAGCTTTGCAGTGTAAGACCAAAGGAATAGCATTCCAGGAGCACTCTAGTCACATGAAACTGAGGAGCAGAAGCCACCTCATGGCGATGTTAACACCTCAGAAGTAGCTATTGCCACTAGGCCTCGCATGACTGTTTTGAGGTGGGTGTTGAAGTTCTGGCAAAGCTACTGCTAACTTCTTTGTTTCATTATTTGTGTTGTGACCAGTTCTACGGCAGAGACTTTACCTCCCCACTCAGCTCACTTCACCATGCCAAGCTGAGGTATTTAGCTGTCACTTCAAAGCAGTTCTGTCAGCCTTGGACAAAAACTGTCCAAAGAAATCATTCCTAAGTAGAGAGGAGGAAGGGAAATAAATTAGAGGGCTACAGCATAGGAAGTCAGCTTATATCAAGACAGGCAGTTACTCCATCTAGCTCAATATTGTTTACACCGACTGGCAGCTCGTCTCTAGGGTTTCAGTCAAAAGTCTTTTTCAGCCCTACTTGGGGATACTGGAGGTTGAACCTGAGATCTTTTGCATGCAAAGTTTCTACTGTGACCCTTTCTGCAGGCTGTGATACCCTGTTTTCCCGAAAATAAGACAGTGTCTTATATTAATTTTTGCTCCCAAAGATGCACTAGGACTTATTTTCAGGAGATGTCTTATTTTTCCATGAAGAAGAATACGGTACACATTTATTGTCTAATTGTGAGCCAGCCAGACTCCGTCAGGGCAGAGTGAGCAGCAGGCGGCAGCTTGTCCTGGAGCGGGCTCTCTGATTTAAAGAGACCTCGCACTGCCTGAACAGCTCCGGCAGCGCTGCGGCCAATCAGTGAGCTGCGCGGAAGCACCTGCCACTATAGTCCAGAGGAGACAGACGCCTTATGGTAGGTTCCAGGGCCTTATATTTCGGGGAGGCCTTATGTTCGAGGGAGGCTTTATTATTGGAGAGGTCTTATTTTGGGGGGATGCCTTATATTACAGCGAGAGGCAAAACTGGAAGTAGGTCTTATTTTCGAGGGATGTCTTACTTTCGGGGAAACAGGGTATGTATGGCCATCTGAAAATACAAAGAAATATATTTTAAAGAAGTATTTGGACCTAAAAATAGTCTGTGAGAGGAGAGAACCTGGAATATTATATTACACACACAGTGCTTTTTTCTGGGGGGCCTGCAGGGGTACACATACCCCTAAACATTTTGTGAATCTTTGTACTTTTGTCCATTTACTGTATTTGTTTTCCCTGATTTGAACTATAAAATAGTGATTTTCTTGAGTCAAAAAGAGAGTACCCCTAAAGCACACACACGAATCAAGTCACTCAAAGACAAGCATGAGTCTCAATAGTTTTTGTTTTCATCTGAGATGATGCAGTATGTTGCTGTTTTCTTTGTAGTCCTCTGAACTCACCACTGCTCCCTTAACAGTGAAGTCATCATTGCATAACTTTCTTTGGTAATGTGGCAAAGAGGTTTGGAAAACATGGAATTCTCTGAGGTTCCCTCCACCTTGAAACAGCAGCATTCTACAATGACTCTGGAACTTCCAGGGACTCATTCCAGTAGACGATTGTAAACAAGACCATTGTGGAGTATAGTGATTGCGGTGATTTTCCGAAATGCTCTGGAGCAGTAAGAGCTGTGGAACAGACTCCTTTGGGAAGTGGTGGACTCTCATTTCTTGGAAGTCTTTAAGCAGAGGTTGGATGGCCATCTGCCATGGATGCTTTAGTTGAGATTCCTGCATTGCAGGGGGTTGGACTAGATGACTCTTGGGGTCCCTTCCAACTCTACAATTTTATGATTCTATGGTCTACATTGGGATCTACTGCCTGAGATGGTTGCCTCATTTTGGAATGTGCCATGGGCTATATGCATACCTTACTTTTAAAACACATCCCCTGCAGCAATCCCAGTAACTATCATTTACCTCTCACAGAGCTACCATTCCCAGCAACCTTAACAATCTACAGCTCCCATGATTCTTTTGTGTATGTGTGCACTTTAAACCTTTTCTGGAATAATAATAATAATAATTTGTTGTTGTTTAGTCGTTTAGTCGTGTCCGACTCTTCATGACCCCATGGACCAGAGCACGCCAGGCACCTCTGTCCTCCACTATCTCCCGCAGTTTGGTCAAACTCATGCTGGTAACCTCGAAAACACTATCCAACTAATAATAATAATAATAATAATAATAATAATAAAAATAATAATAATTTATATCCTGCCATCCCCGGCCAAAGCCGGGCTCAGAACAACAAGTAAAAATAGCAGTGTACATAAAATCACACAGTCAATTAATTAAAATACATTCTAAAATCAATTCAGAATCAAATTAATGGCAACCATTGAGCTAGAGTCCTATGAAGATTACAGAAGCAGAGGGGGGGGGGAGATTAAGGAATGTGCCTTTCCTTAATTATTCTACAAAGCAGGGATGAGAAACCTGTGACCGTCCATATAATGTTTGACTACAGCTCCCTTCATCCCTGATCATTGCCCATGCTGGCTGTGACTGATGGGAAATGGAGTCCACCAGCATTTGGAAAGATTGTTGAAATTACTGATTGGGGTATTAAAAAGCCGGCATGCGACCGAAGGAAGGGGGATAAATTTGGTTCATCTTGCATATCTACACCTCCCAAAGCAGCAAGGAGCCTCAGTTAAATCTGGTACACAGCCCTAATAAATGAGAACACTCTCATTATAGCTCATTATAGTCATAGTACCAGAACTCAAGGAAAAAGAAAAGAGAGCAGGAAACTGGGATAAAAACTCAGCTGAGAGTTCTCATTTTAGGTTGTCGTATAAAATGAACCTTGGAGCTTCATGATAAACACAGAGGAGTATTTCACAGTGAAAGCACTTCTATTTTTCTCTTTAATTATATAGGCATGCTGGTGGCAAGAGCAGTATTTGCTAATTCCTGACCAGCTGACTCTGAATTTGGATACCTTAATCCAGGCATAGATGTCAGTTTGTTTGGGTCACAGCTTGGAAAAGGCCTACAAATAAAACGGCAGGTCGTTTGAATGTTTGGTACTTTGCCACATACTTGAAAAGTTCCCTATATTGGCAGCATCACCTTTCTAGAGCCCTGAGGTAATCGGGTCAGAAATAAAGAACATTTCAAGTGCCTGAGCCTGATCTAATATACCTGTTCTGGGAATAATAAATTAAAGACTTTATTATGCTCCATATACTTTAATGGATAGGCGTAGCTGTTGTTACATCATATCCTCAGGGATTTCCGCACACGGTGTTCCTAACTGCATTCCATCCTTTGAGAATATCTGGCAAGGCACGATCCAATACCCTTCCTCTTAAATTCAACATACATATGCAGTTCTACTTTTCTAGAAAACGAGGTGCCGGAACTCACCATGAACACCTCCCTTGTTCTCTTATAATGGCAATGGCACCTGAGAGTTGCTGGAACAGAGTTCCAGTGAGTTCCAGCTGAAAAAAAGCCCTGCATATATGTACAGGTAGGAAGAAGCATGGGAGTCCACAGGAGCTTTTTTTCCAGAGGGCTGCAATATAAATATTCCAAATAAATAAACACACAAGGCATAGCAAGTCTACTATTTCTGGGTCACCTGGTGACAGAGCAGTGGCAAGGCCTAGGTAGACCTAGCCTCTAAGAAACTTGTATTCCAGGTTTCTTCATCCATGGTTCCTCAGTGGGCAAAGCTGTTGTCTATCGGCAAGTAGACTTGGCCTCTAGATGTCCTTTCCTGCTAAAACCCTCAATTATTCCCCCCTGTCTCCCTTCATCAGCCACTGCAGCACTCTCAGAGAGAAGTTTATTTCCATCTCCCCTCTGTTCAGAATAGATGGGATGGCAGGTGTGTAAGCCTGGCATCCAGTTAAATGTGGGCATGTTGTTCAGTGTAGGAGAAGCTGAACCAGGGCTGACAGGAAATGAGCAGGAAGAGCAGGTCTTTAGTGCACCGTCAATTTCTGAGGCGATACGTATTGAGGTTTTTTGCAGGTGCCATAGGATGTACTGGTGGGTACACTACTGACTTCTGATTCTTATGATGGTTTGTAAGTAGCCATTAAATAATATATACAGTGGTACCTCAGGTTACATACGCTTCAGGTTACATACGCTTCAGGTTACAGACTCCGCTAACCCAGAAATATTACCTCAGGTTAAGAACTTTGCTTCAGGATGAGAAATCATGCTCCGGCGGCGCGGTGGCAGCAGGAGGCCCCATTAGCTAAAGTGGTACCTCAGGTTAAGTACAGTTTCAGGTTAAGAACGGACCTCCGGAACGAATTAAGTACTTAACCCGAGGTACCACTGTAAATACAAGTGGGGCCTGTAATAAAATGGTGCAGTGTGAAGTGCTCCTGTTCAGGATGCCAGCCAGCCACCAGAGCTTCTTCAGAATACTCCATTCCATCCCCGCATTCCCCAACAAACACTCATTGTGGTCACTGAGCAGTCTTTGGGCCAATTGGGTCCTTTTTTTAAAGTATTTTTTCCTACTTGTGCAAACTTTGGGGTTCTCCAGAGCGTAGGCACCAACTCCCAAGGGACCATGTGGGCTTCAGCCCCCACAATAAAATATTTGAGGGGACCCCCCCCCAAGTTGATTGGCATTCCCATTCAAATGGTGTGTGTGCACTGCGTCATGTGATTGATTATGCAGGACAGGGCTTACCTGGACCCCCCCCCCAATATTTTATTCAAGTTGGCACCCCTGTTCCAGATCATGCCTACACCCCTCTTGTTTCCCAGTGGCTTGTCACAGCTCAACACCTGATATATATGGTGTTTTAATTTTGTTTGTCTAAAGTTCTATTATGCCTGCTTCAGTATCCATGGAAAAAAAAGCATTGCTCGAAATTTGTGCAGGTTGGATTTTCAACTTTTTAAAAGTATAATAAATCCATGTATTTTAAAAAGGACTTTTGAAAACGTAAATTCTTCCCTCCAACTTGCACCCATAAAATGCGCTCTCTCTCTCTCTCTCTCTCTCTCTCTCTCTCTCTCTCATTGTGCTCCTTTGACCTGGGTAGTCAGTTTAATACAGAGTCATCATCTACAGATTCCTCTGCGGCAGACCCAGTATGACCCACGACCCCAGTTATCAAGCACTACCAGAAAAAGATCAGTCAGTGACAGTCAGGGCAGTTGTTGGCTGGCAAGAGTTCTGAACCATCTCAGGTTGCATCTGCCTCTACTGGAGTCAAGGCTGTTGACAAACAGAGTGTTCTACTTTCCACTCCATCTCACTAGTTTGACCTTTGCGAGGCCAGAGGGAGCAGCACTTGGTATATATACACAGAACACAGAAAAATCCACTGTCGGAGAAGCTAAGAGGCCCTTGAGTTTGCTGCCTGTCCTAAATTCTCCAAGGTTTTCTTCTTGTGCCACTACACCACTTGTTATTTTTGAATACAAGCGAAAGGGAATTAAACATTCCTTTACAATGAGCTCCCTAAAAATAGAACAGAACAGAACCTCCTGCGTAGTTTTAAATTGCCAGTACAAAGGACTTTGTGTGCTGTCTTGAATTCTATGCCTTGAATTCTGAGCATGGACGGTGGGATATGATTTATTTATTCTTAATGCAGATCATAAAGCTGTTGATAAATGTAGAGCAACGGTTGCCAATCACCCATTGGTGCCAGTGTGCCCACCAATAGCTCTTGTGGTACCCATGAAAGATCTCAGTAAATGCCTCCTCAAAAACCCACGATGTAATGGAAACCTTTTGCTGTTTCTGCTCAGTTTCTGTTTTCACTGGCTCGGTATTGGATACCAGGATTTGACACTCACCCTCCATTGTGTTCTGAACAGAAGAGAGGTGCAAAAAGCTGCTCTCTGAATGAGCATGGCAGTGGCTGATGCAGAGGCCTTTCCCCCCTAATCGTGGGGGGGGGGGGCTGATATGAGCAAATGTCTGCACCATTTTAGGATCCTATTGCTTTCTGTCTTTCAAAGATTGCAAAATTTATTTTAAAATAGCATCTCTTCCTTTGCAATACATTGTTGTTTTAAACCATGATACACAAGCAGCCATATCCAGCACCATCATAGATCTACAAATAAATTACAAACACCATTACTAATTCACTTGTTCTGTTGTCCAACATCTGACTGATTTTATCTTCTCACGTTTATTGTGACTATTAAATTAGAATTGCATACATAAAGGGGGGGGGGAGTTCAGCTGAAAGAAAAAAAAACCAAATCCTGTTTGGGCTTGGGAAAGACAATGATTCTCATGGCAATATTGTATAAAGAGGGATCAACTTTCCCAGAATCCATTCCTTCTGACTTCTGATGCTTTTGCCCTTAAATAAGAACTAAATTTAGCCAGCTTTGCAAGGTGTCCCCCCTTTTTTTATTAAACCAATCTTTCTGTTCTTTTAGATGTCGCTGGTGCTCACAGCACTTTCTCAAAATTCCAGATTTGCCCACTGGGCAAAAGGTTGGAGACCCATGCTATAGAAGGCAGGTGCCTAGGATGAATTACACTGGAAGGCTGGCTAAGTGGACCATGTGAAGTTCACAGGTGAGATTGATGCTAGCGAGCAGGGATGGAGTTCATCATAACACACCCACTCATACACACCCCAAATGCGCAAGGCAATGCTTTGTGTTGTAAGCGAAACAGCACTATTTGTTATTTGGACCCTGAGAAATTCAATTGAAATTGCATCATAATTTCTACAGTCCTTCACCTAAACAGTCTGTTGATGTGGTTTGTTTTGAACCTTAAGAGCCCTTTTCAAATGCTCAATAACACATAGATGGGAGGCACATTGTTATGTATTGAAGTTCTCACCCTTGCCACCAGGAGTATCGTGTATATATGTAGTTTTCACTCAGGTCCACATCAGTTACTTTAGGCGGGAAACCCTGGGTTGTTGTTGCTACAATGTTGACAGCTGGCTGCCTATAAAAGCAGGCTGGTTAAGCTGTTTGCTGTTCAGTTCTGTTCCAGCTTACAAATAAAGAGCTGCTTTGGAGAAATCGCTGCGTCGTCTGCTATGTCTACCCACTATTTAACACACATGGCTGTTGTTGTTCTGTTGTGAGTGCTGTGCAGGAAGGAGCAGACACACACTCTGAGGTTGCTGAGTAACAAAGAATATTTTGCTTGTACAGCGCTGTTATTGCTGGCACCAACTAGAGGCATTAACTGTAACCGACTTTTCAGCGACTATATCAGTGATGACTGTGTTCTACTTTCTCTTTGGAGGTACGGTAGTTTGCCTCTGAATACCATTTGCTGGGAATCACAGGTGGAGCGAGTACTGTTGCGCTCAGGCTTGTGGGCTTCCCATAGATGTTTGTGGTTGGCAACTGTGAGAACCAGGATGGTAAACTAGATAGGCCATTGACCTGATACAGCATGCTCTTCTTAAATCCTCTTGGAAATTAACTCTACATAGATTTAACGTCTGAGAAACACCTGTTTGCACCATCAGCTTTGTCCATGTACTCATGTGAGGAAAGGCTGCTCTGTGGACTGCTCACCTGGGGAGCTGTTTCTCTGATCACAGATGCTGGAAAAAGTTCCGTGACTATTATAAATACGGCTGTCATGTCCTTTCAGAATTCAAGAATGGGAACCGGCTCAGAGTGTTCAGGGAACCACAAATGTCTCCCTCCTGTTTGCGGGATGTGACTGCCGAGGTTCGTGAAATTCTGCTCATGTGATTAATATTTGCCATGTTGGTGTTTTGATAAGTTTTGTAGTTCTTTGGTTGACAACATGAGACTGTCAAGGCATATTTGGACACTGGCAGCATGGCATCACATTGCAGATGCTTACTGTTTCAAGATAAAGCTGACCTCACACCAGCGAAAACAAGGGATTCGCTAAACTAGCAAAGGTTTATGTTGTGCCTTTCCCTCTTTCTATTTCTTTATACCAGCTGAGAAAAAGATTCAAACATGCCATTCCACCCGCCTCTCAGTCAATATTAATGGGTAAGTGTTGCCAATGCATAAGATGAGAGGCATTACAAATGTCTAACCTTGTTCTCCCTGCAGCCAGAGAAAGCAGCCATTCCTGCAGAATTAATCTCTGAGCTCTTGCTGTTCACACCACGTCTGCCTTGCCACCCTTTGAAGATGATAATAAAACTCAGCAGCAGGCTTAAAACTCCTGCAAATGTAAATATCTACTAGCAGAGTTCTCTGAATCAGATGCCTTCCCCATTCACATCAGAGGGAAACAAATGCAGTACATTTCGATCCTATCCTTAGCCCAGAAATGTAAAATAAAACCTCAAAGGATCAACAGTTAGTAGTATTTTATTATTATTGTTTTCCTTTCTAGCTCCGAAGATGTCAATTCAGCCTCAACAGAAAGGTATGGCCAGGAAAGGAATTACTAGCTCAGCTCTACCCATGATCATTTACCTCTGAGCTAAGCAGCCACTTGAGAAGGTGATAGATATTTATAGATCCAAACAATCCTTCTCCAGCTGTTGCCAAACACACAGCCAACTCTCAGTTTAGGGTGTCCATACTGTGGATAGGGGAAGAAATTCAGTTCAGTGTGCGTTTTAAATGTGAGCTTACCTAATTCACGCTTCCTGCAACAAGGAGTGAACTGAAACACAGCTATCCTTCACAATTTCCCGAATTATGCAACAAACGTCTCCACTCCGAGACATGCATGCATTAGTGGAAAGTGTGCACTTAAAAAAGCTTGGACCCAAGTTTGCTGAAGCTATGAGAGGGGCAATGAGAGACACTATTGGGGCATAATCTTCCGCATCCACTCCATTCCGCAGACTTCCAGGTGTAAATATGGCTGATTTAGATTCTCAGCATTGAAATTTCACACTGTCCAGAGTTTAAGGTTTAAGCTGTGCACATGCCAGCACAGCTGTTGTTCAGGTAATGGGCTGCAAATGAAAGGCTACATGAAGTCCTTGCCTTGTGGCTGCGCCAACGGCAGCTCCTGGCTGGGAAGCTGACACCGCTGGAACTTTCTTGCAAGGTAAGTGAAATGTGGTGAGAAGCACACAGGAAACTTCGCTGTGCGTTACGCTTCCCATATCTGGGAATATCTGTGCATGTAGAAACTAAGCCGGTTAGCCTTGCAAAGTGGATCTGCTCATGATAATCCAGGTTTAACCCTTGGGCTGAGGCCATGACAGTAGCAATAGTGAATCCAGGGCAGTACGTGTTCAATTGAGGAAATATTTTTGAAAAGGCAGTTTAAAAATAAAAGACAATCTCTTAAAAACAACAACACGGGTATAAAATGAGATTGACTGCTGCTAATTCTTGGGAATTTAACTTCAACACATGGTCACATCCCCAGCTGATTGATATCTAGCAGGAGGGGGTAGCACACTAGTATATATAAACCTGCAAACATAGATCTGCCAGGGGGCAGTGGGTGCTTCGGCACCCACAATAATATATTTGGGGGGCTGGGCCCCCTCAAAGTCAATGGGCAAAGTTGAAGCCCTTTGTTGCTGGCACCTAGTCTTTGGTGTGAGATAGCACCTGTGGATCTCATAATGATGCAGAGAATATTCTGATTCACGACTTTGTCTCCCAGCACCCTGACTAATGTGTCCGTCTTTCCCTGGCCTGTTGATCCTACTTTGCCTCCTCACCTCTGTTCAGCACTCTGCTGCTTGAATCATCCAGCATTCACATGGCTCAGACCGCGTGATTGTCATTCAATCCCTGTGCTGGCTTCCTGCCTGCTCCCAGAACCAGTACAGGATCCTTGCTTTAAATCCCAGTGTATCTTTGCCTCAGTTGCCTGTGGCGATTGCTTACCTGGTTGCAACGCTCTCAGCCAGCAGTGGCCCCCCAGTCATGGTGGCACTGCATGGGGCAGGAGAAGGCAGTGGTGAGGTCAGGGCAGTTCTGCCTTGCCTGCATCAGCATCCTGCAAGTGTACACACAAGTGGGACCCCAATGCCACCAACTGGAGCTCCCCTACTCTTGCCATGCCCTACCTTATCCTGATGAACATGGGCAGCTGCCTCCAAGAGAGTACTACTGCTTTTTGATCACCCCTTACATGCTACTGCTGCCCTCAGTCATATGAAGTTCTCTTCTCCATCAATAAATTTCACCTGTCCTCCTTTGGCGCTCCTTATGCTTTCAGCCTGCACCTATCTACACAGGCTCACCTCTCTGGCTTAAAAAATGTTGCCCTGTTTTCTGATTCTTGGTAACACAACAGCGTGATGATAGGGATGTGACCGAAACATGGGAAATTGCTTTTCAGTATATTGTTGCTCCGTTTAGTAGCACATATAGGAATTGACAGAAATCTGACCAACATAGGGCCACTGAGAAACACGAGGAAGTTATTGGCATGTTTGGTGAACCGCAAGATTTGCAGATGTACAAAGATCTATTATGAAACCCAAGGAGGCAAATCTTTCCAAAATCAGTCCAATGAAGAAGACCCATGTTCAGCTATCTCCAGGAGTTTGCAACTGGAGACTATATACAACTAAACAGTTGCACTAGCAGAAGTTAGATCAACAATTCCTGCTAGTGCAAAAGGACTCCCCCCCCTCTTCTCTCCACTATGTACCCTCCCCAAATCTGAGAACCCCCCAGAGCAGTGCACAACGGGGTGGGAGAGGAGATTGTTCCATCAGTGCAAGCAATTCTGCTTGCCCTATGGAACAGTCTTCTTAACACTACTTTGAATATAACCCTATGATTTTAACTTCAAGGTTACATTTATTTTAACAATTTCTTGGTAGAAAACCACAAAAGTACAAATGCAATATAAAACTCTGCAACTAAAAAAAGAGAGAGAGATAATTTATTCCATGGCAAGGTTTCTCACCGTGGCTTATAAAACGAAGAAATGTAAGTTTTGAATATACATCACTGTGTAATTCATATTCACAAATATACAGACTTGGTGAAAAATGGAAATGGTATTTACACAAATATACATAGCAGTGTAACATAACTTTAAAAATATACAGAAACTTTTAAAAAGCCAATAACCAATACAGAGTCATATAAAGCTGGCTGCTAGCAGAAATGTGGAATTTATGTGCTTATGTAATTATTCTTTAAAATATACTTCATAAATATATTGATGGTCTGCCTTCAATCTCAAGTGTAGCCTTATATTTAAGCCAGCCTTCTCCTATCTGCTGTCCACCAGACTTTTTGGACTACATCTCCCATCAGCCCCAGTCAGAACACCTGTGATTGGGGACGGGGAATGGCAGTTGTAGCCAAAAACATCTGTACAGCAGCGGGCTGGGGAGAGCCATTTTAATCCATATTAATGCAGGAGAGAATAAAGGACACCTTTCTCTGGTGCCACCTTATGAACCAAATGAACATTATTACAATGAGAGAAATACTTGGTTGATTGGGCCAGTGATCCTGTTCCATGAAATATGCAGATGCTTTTTGAGTGCTTCTAAAAAGACCTGATTGGGCATGACACATTTGCTCTCATCAGGAATCAAGATGAAGCTTTTCTGTGATACAGAAGCAATGAGATTACACAGTGGCTAAGGCTACATCATCTGGGAGGGGGGGGGGAAACCCCCAGACCTTGGAAAGAGAGTCTTATCTAAATCATTATTAAATTTCATTGATATTATTGTGCATTGGCTGGCTGCCTTTCGTTCTCTTTTTGAGTGAGCCTATGCAAAACTGAAATTCAGAATCCATTAGAATTCACTGAGATGCCACCTAGTTTTATAGTCTACCTGCACTGTCCAAACACGGAGTGGCTAGCAGGTGCAATATCTGCTCATTGCAGCTGCCAATGCCATACCTTCTGCTCTGTTATGTTCATTTGCACTGTAGACAGAAGTTATTCCTGATATTGAGAGACAGTCCATACTGGGGCAGGAATAAAGTGGGCTACCTTTTTTTTTTACCTTTTTTACTGAGAAGAATAGTTCTTCATGCATCCATTTCCTTCTAGGCGCGAAAGAGTGGGAAATATTATGGTGCAATCATGCCTTTCAGTGTGTTCCTATACCTGTGGGATGCGGGTGGTGCTGTGGTCTAAACCACTGAGCCTCTTGGGCTTACCGATGGGAAGGCCGGCAGTTTGAATCCCTGCAACAGGGTAAGCTCCTGTTGCTCTATCCCAGCTCTTCCCAACCTAGGAGTTCGAAAGCACGCCAGTCCAAGTAGATAAATAGGTACCACTGCAGAGGGCAGGAAGGTAAATGGCATTTCCGTGCGCTCTGACACTCATCCCGGTGTCCTGCTGCGCCAGAAGCGTTTTAGTCATGCTGGCCACATGACCCGGAAAGCTGTCTGTGGACAAATGCCAGCTCCCTCAGCCTGAAAGCGAGATGAGCACTGTAACCCCATGGTCGCATTTGACACGACTTAACCGTCCAGGGGGCCTTTACCTTTAACTTTTTATACCTGTGTACTTGGAAGCATGAGGGACGCGGGTGGCGCTGTGGGTAAAACCGCAGTGCCTAGGACTTGCTGATCGTATGGTCGGTGGTTCGAATCCCCGCGGCGGGGTGAGCTCCCATCGTTCGGTCCCAGCTCCTGCGCACCTAGCAGTTCGAAAGCACCCTTAGGTGCAAGTAGATAAATAGGTACCGCTTTATAGCGGGAAGGTAAACGGCGTTTCCGTGTGCTGCGCTTCTGCAGGCTCGCCAGAGCAGCTTCGTCACGCTGGCCACATGACCCGGAAGTGTCCTCGGACGGCGCCGGCTCTCGGCCTCTAGAGTGAGATGAGTGCAGAACCCTAGACTCGGACACGACTGGCCTTCGGGCAGGGGTACCTTTACCTTTACCTTACTTGGAAGCAAGGCCTATTGAACTCAATGGGGCTTACTTTCAGGGGAATGTTACAGGGGTAGCCTGCTGTACAGAGGTAAAAATCACATTCATTGCTCTGACTGTGCTTGTTTTTGCCTCTGGCCCCACCCAATGCTGGCATGTGGCGCCCAGGAAGGTGGCCTTGGGATGATCTGCCACTATCTGCTCTGTAAGTACTTCCTTGTAGTTCTCACACACTCTGTAGCTCACAGTGGTCCAGACTGTGACCATGCAGGTTGGCGGATGATCTCTCCTCTTGGAGGGGAAAGCTGGTCAGGATGACCTCCAGAACTCAAGTTCCAAAGGTCTGTGATGCTAAACCAGGAACCAGTATTCATTCTTCTTTGACATGGTGAAGAAAGTAAAACATTGCAGCTTGGGGCTACACATGAAAAGATTCTTGGTCCTGGGCCACAGCTTTCTAGATGCCAGCATAATAACTTCCACTCAGTCCTTCTGGAGTCCTTGGCCCACAATGTAGAGTTCAGGGTGGGAAGATGACTTGCCTGCTTTTCTGCCCTCAGAGGAACATGGACTGTTCCAAGAGTCCACCTCTTGCCTATGGCTCTCTTCCATTCTGCAAATAGAGAAGATGTTTAAGTCCAAAGGCTAATGATGTATGACCTTTTAAAAGCGAAAGAATGGATATAACATGTAAACTCATGATGGAACACCATCAGCAGCTATTTAGGTGTTTATTATTCTGTACAATCCAGTTTTAAATTCTTATTGCCTCATACCAAAATGAAGCTCCATTACATAAAAATCTATCACCATTTGGAGGCTAAGAATTATTAGCACAAGTCGTCAAAGGTAACCCAAATTCTGCATCAAGAAAAGTACACTTCTGTCATCTGTATAAAGTATGCAAATAAAAAAAATTAAAGCGAGGAGGACTATTGGTTTGTTTTCATTTTTGTTTTATTGTGTATTTTGTGTTCTCATTTTGTATTTTTATGTTGTGAAGGAAAGTATATAAATTTAATAAATAATAACAGTAATACTTATAAAAATTAAGCAAATGTGCACATGGTTTCATAACTATGAAAGCTGAGATTTTCAGAATGCTGAATATTCACATGAAATTCACATTCGCATGTGTTTCTTCATAGGTATATGTTTTATCACAGACTTTACCAACCTGGCACCCTCCAGAAGTTTTGGACTACATCTCCCATAAGCCCCAGGAAGCACCTCTGGGTAAAGGACCTGTCTGTAGTGCTTCTCACACTGATGGCATGAGCATATAATGTAACATATATCTGACTACTTCCCATAAATTAAGTAATTGCTGGATAAGGTAAAAAATAGATTGTGCTATCTGCATCAATATTTTATGTTCAAACAATAAAAGATAACATGATTTGGTACAAATGCATTTAATGAAAAAGCACCAATATACATATTGTTATGAGTTGTGGGTGGCCAGGGTTTGCAGCTGCCAGTTTCCCCTAAATTCCTGGGTCTGATAGGTGTTAGAATTTAATCAATGCTTGGAGTGTTAAAATGGGCTACCAGACAGTTCTATGATTCTGTATTACGTAAGAGGTGGGCCATTAACAGAAAATAAAGACTGTGCAAACTGGCAAATAGGTGGAGCCCCTCCTTGAGCTCTGAGATAGTTAGCAAAGATAAAACAGAGTAGCGTTTAGGATTGCAGTGATAGGAGAAAATAGTAAAGCGCAGCAGGCTGAGGAGAGGGGCAGAGAGCACATTTGAGAGCAATGGTTGGGGTCAGCTTAAATCCAAGGCCGCTGTGGCTACTGGAGCAGCGAGAACCTCTTGGGGTATTGATGCTGTGAACCCCTCCATTGTAGGCTCAGGATGTATATTTGTGCAAATAAACCATATATCATAAAGCCACCTGTGCCTCATTTTCCAAAAGGAAACACAGACCCTGGTTAAACATGCCTGGAAACCGTGGCATCTTGCACCTTTCAGAGTTTGGAGTAGCATTTATCAACAGAGAGTTAGATTTAAGTACTTGAATATACAAAATCTGTACCTGGAATTTGTGTGTGTCCTTGATCTTATCCACTTTTAAATTTTGTCCTCTATTTCTGTGTATGTTATGTGGCTCCGTTAATGGAAAAATAATGTGGAGCGTTTGATACACCTTACAATCCTACACATGCCTACTCACACTTAAGTACAGGGAGTTCAGTGGGTACAGTATAGGGTTGCTGTCTTACACCCTTAAAAGAAGTGTTAGAATAATATCCTGATGAGGTCCTGATCCGATACAAATTTACCCTGTATCTGGAAAGATGACCCAAGGCTTTGCTTGGGGTCTGAGTCATTAAACCAGCTTTGTGGCCCTGAGTTAAGTGGAATATTTGAACAGTATTTGTTCAAAGCTCCTCTCCCAGCTGTTACCCCATGGAAAGGCCTTTAATCTGATAGCCATCACTGGACTAAAATAAACTTTTTTTTCCTATTACACATGCACAAATCCTATTATGGATTAGCGGGATTTGTACAAGCAGAGCATCCGTGCTGTGAAAACGTGCCCCTCAGCTAAATTCCAGCAAAAGGCCAGCCTCATAAAAGCAAAGTAACCCACTAACCCCCTCCTATTACGTGAGCAGATGGTTTCTGGTTCCCATAGCTTAAAACACCGACAGGCCATTCCCCTGGTACTTATGAAGCTACAACAGACGCCAGAGCTCTCTAATTGGGGCCAGTGACACATCTCTCTCAAGAGAGAGACCAGAGTAAAGGGAAAGAGCAAACGCTTCATTGGAAACTGATCCTGGGCCTGCGTTTACATAATCAGTTATTCTGGGATAACAACCCCCGGGCACTCTTCTGCCTCTTTATTATTTTGTTTACAAGTTGAAAGGCTGAACCCAAGGTTGAAGAGAGCTGGTTAAACACAGAAACAAAACAAGGGATTAGAAGATCATAGGTGCTCGGATAGCTTCTTTTTCTTCCCAGAATACATATTCCTGTGGTAAATCAGCAGGACTGGTTTGAGGACTTAACTGGACTCTTGCAAAAGGCTTAATGTTGCAGGACAGGAAAGCAACAGTCCCATACCACTTTCTTTGTAATGCAAGGAAAATAAAATTATTCCAGGAAAGGTAAATGATGCCTTTGGCAGTATGGATCCTGTAACGTCAAGTTAAAAGCCTGAGAAATGTTGGACAAATGTCTCAAACTGTTCCCAAGTTGCAATGCACCATGGCATGTTCATAACAACCTGAGAAACAGAATGTACCGTCCTGTCAAGTGGTGAGGGGGGCGGATCTACCATTTGGTATGCAGTTGTGATAAAATTCTTCCCACCAGGAAGGCCTCAGTGCAAAAGGTCGTAGGTTCAATCCCTGGCATCTCTAGGTGGGTTTGGAAGTGTCTCCATTCTGAAATCCCATGCTCGGTCAACGTACAGGATACTGACCTAGATGGACCAATGGTCTCACTCAGTATAGGATAGCTTCCTATATCCCTGGCCAATACATGTAAGTTTTAAAAACTTTTAAAAAAATATAACATTGTATTTACGGTTGCCAGATTCTGCGCACAGATTTGCAGGCACATGCCACCCCCAAAATAATTTAGTTCACTAGGAAAACAGCCAAAGTCGGCCTCCAGGGTGTCAGGGCCAATTTGTATGGTAGTCCAAATTTTTAGGTCTTTATGTGTTTATGCGCTTATCTTAGATTTCAATCATTAAGCTGTTTTTGTACACTGCTTAAATGTATATTTTATTCTTTTGAAAGCTGTCCCAGTTGTGCTTTTCGAGCTAGTCTTTGACCGTAATAAATTCTGATGATGACATTGTATTTTAAATTGTTGTAACCTGCCCTGGAATCATAGGGTGAAGGGCAAGTAATAAATTTAATAATAATAATAATAATATTCTGTCAAAACACCCAGTGTATGAAGCTATCTCCAGGACACAACTGAAAACTGAAGGATGCTTCTGAATTCTCATACTTCATGCTATGAGCTAGTTCTATAAACGAATCATTGCAGCAGGTAACTCATGGAAAGGCACATAGGCTTTTAAACTGCAGTGTGAAAAGGAACCCATCATGCATTTCTTACATCAGCATCCTACGCTTGGCAGGGTGGGAAAGGGTCGCCGTTCAATGGCAGAGGACCTGGGCAGAAAGTCCCAGGTTCCATCCCTGGCATCTCCAGGTGGGGCTGGTAGAAACACCTGCCTGAAACCCTGGAGAGTTCAGAGAGCCTGATTGCTTCACTGCAACTTTGTGAAATAAGATATTCGAGGCATAAGGGCACTTAGTCAGGTGTCACAGGTGAGCAGGGATTTAGAACCCCAGGTTTCCCACACCCACGCCCAGCATGGACTCTCATAATAGTACTACGTGGAAAGCCAGTCAAGTTGGCAGCATGGCTGGTGGTGCTGATGTTGGGGTGGTTCCCCAGCTGTCATATGGGCAAATATGAGCAAGAGATGAATCGGGGAAGGATTTGCTTCACTTCACTGTGCATTTTCAAAACCCATGTGCAGATGTAACACAAGGGAACAGGTGGTTTTGTTTTTTTACCTATTCCTCACTCACACAAATCCTACTTGTAGGAAAGAGATATTAGTGACAGATATGGGTGCAACGAAGTTACTTGCCTGGACTATAAGGTTGACTATACATCTAAATGCAACTTAAAGGCTTTGAAAATACTGACTCTTACCTTGTTTGAATTAGCACAGGTTCACTACCAGATGTGGCAAAGAATGGTAGGGGACGCTGAAATCCTGGCCTGCGATCAGAGGAACTCCTCCGTACAAAAGGTTGGGGATTGGCAGCACTGAGGGACACCCTCCTCTGTTGATCCCCACATTGCCTGAGATGTTTGCTGTTCCTCTGTGCAAATGCTGACCCTTCGGGATGGTCCGCCATAGCCTCTGTTGTGGAGCTGTTAGGTGGCAACACCGGCTTGGCTTCAAATAACGAGGAAGTGGCTGGACAAAATATTGAGCGTGTATTGCTGACAATCTTCAGGATGGGAGTCTGCTGCTCATTCCCAGAGTCCAGGTGATTTCGTAATCCTTTGTGCAACCAAGATGGGGAAGTCGGTGGGGATGGGGTTGTTGAGAAAGGAGGTGGGCTTGCTTCTCTGCGGAGTGCTGGTGGGCTGGACACTTTCCGGTGGGTTGGTGGGCTCTGCTGCTTGCGTCCCAACGGTGGGCTAGACAGGTTTTGTTGGGTTGGTGGGGAAGGCTGCTTCCTTTGTGTTGGAGAGCTTGATGCCCTGGGATTAGCAGGGGGGCTTGGCTGCCGGTGGGTAGTGGGGGAAGAAGCTTGGTTTATGTGCCTGTGATGTAGTGGTGGGCTTGGGAGCCTTTTCTCACTGGGGGGTGATGAAGGTGGTGTTCTTGCGGGGGACACCCGTTTGGTAAGGGCAGTCATTTTCTCACTTCCACTGGGTGAATCAGGAGAGCCTCGCTTTTGAGCTGAAGCTGAAGGTGTGCTACAGTCTTTATTTCCTGGCTCAGGTGCATCCTGTTCTGGCATTTCTTTAGGATTTTGAAGAGGTATGAGCTTACATGTCTGCTTATACAGATCTGTAGTTTCTTCCACTTCATGTTCCTCTGGGGATGCTGATGACATGTCTTGGTTGTTATCAGACACAAAGCTGGAATTCAACTCCAGGGAATATTTTCTTGGTCTGAAGTCCACCCTAGCACTTTTTGTTGCTTTGTTAGTAATGAGACTGGGACTGTTCAGATTCTTACTCGGTAACAAGTCAATGGAACACAGAGAAGCTTTCATTCGCTGAGAAATGTGAGTAACTTTTTTAGCGGAGAAATGCTCATTTGTTTTAGCAATTTCTGAATAGTTTTCTCCTGTTGTTGCATCTTTTGGAGATGTAGCTGAATCAGGTGAGATGTCCATCAGCATGTCAGGAGGTGGTGGGGGCAGGTCTTCCATGTCATCACTGTCATCGCCATCATCATCAGAATCCCCATTTGTGCCACTTCCGCTTGCAAATACAGGTGACCCAGTGGTACCCAAGGTACAGTGTGCTGGATTGATGTTTCGACAATTTATGTCTCCTATTGGTGAAACTCTATGTTTGTGATTTAAAGGCGCAAGTCCTCTAGGAAGTGGGAGACTGGGAGTGATGCTTGGAAGTCCAAACTTTCTGACGCATTTTATTGGGCCCAAAATTCTTAAACTTGGAGGTTTCACAAGACTTTCAGCGGTGCTGAATGTTTCAATTAACTTCTTTACAGATTTGCGGGGTGGAGCACAACCAACACTGTTCA